TGACACACAAAAACCTGCACAGAAAATGATGTCATAAAAGGAGTAGCGCTCATTGATCCTCAACAATGCCTAATGCCTACAATGGCCTAATACACCCAGAGATAAAGTATTGCTACCTCAATATAAACAGGATGGTAAAAGTTGTGATACAAATCTATATGGTCTCACAGTATACGATATATATTGTGATAAATACTCGTTTTATTCTCACACCAGTTCTCTAAACACTGGTGCAACAATCCAGGTCATCCTTTTTTTAAGAAGGAAGACCTAAAGTGAAAAAAGAAAATGAAATGTGATAAAGGTGGAATCCATTTCCATGCATTATAATGAAGCAATGGAGAAACTAAGAATACAATAATAATTCATAATTTGCACCTAATGGCTGCTGTGCTCCAAACTCCTCTCAAAATCCCAGTTTTGCTGTGAAAATGCTGGTTTTATTAATCCCAGGAGAAACCCTGATGAGTGTGTCAGATTTGAAGCATCAGTTTTGCCTCCACTGATTGCTCCTGAGAGAGAACATGTTAACTGAGGTGCCGGCTGCAGAATAAATATAAGACAAAACTTTGTGGAAATATCATCTTGAAGATATGCAACTTTGCACACTGCAGGAACTAATCATAAATTATTGATTAGAATCTCCACCGTGCTCTCAGCATATATGCAGCTAAGACAGAGCCTGCTGAGACGGGGCACGTGGTGCAGATAAGCAAACGGGAAATCACCGACACACACCCCACAACACACCTACAGAAAACATTAACAAGAATACTACAGAATGAAATCCATACATGTGCGCACTAGCACACACTAGATCCTTTGGGGACACTGACTAGTAATGACACAGCATTAACAGTCCATGTTGTGTGTTAACATCGGTGTCATTGTTTCACAGAGCCTTTGTTGGGACAGAGGTTGAATGACACTCAGACCAGAACTTTACTCATTTAGCACAAAGGACAAAGCAAGGCAACAGCAGGCCCTAATACAGGCTTCTTCTGGTCCCATCCTGTGTCTCTAAAACAAGCCTGAATGAGCTTTTTCCAGACCAGACCTCCATTAAACCCTGTGACCCTTTACCACAAATCCCAGGAGAAATCTAGAGAAGCCCTGGAGGATATACATGACAGCAGATTTCCCATCCCGTTACCAATTACAACTGAATTCATTATTTGGTTGTAGAGTCCAAATATATATAGCTGAGTGTGTGAACAATAGATATACACCTGAGTGTGTCTATAAATGGAACAGGGCAGGTCAACCTTTTACCAGCAATTACCCTGAAATCCTAACACTGCCTTTTATACAGTCTAAATTATTGATGCCTGATGATGTTCAATGATGAATTAAATCAAAGCTGCCAAACTTGCAAAACAATGGGTTTGAAGCAGGTAAACTAAGTTACTGCGTCTCCATTATCTTGCTGAGTAAAACCCTGAAAGGATCTTTTAATATCATGTATAAAGTGCAGATTTAAGGGGCTTCTGGGTTTTACTCAGTTACCTTGACTTTCTTGGGAAAGGCTTTCAATGTTGCCGTGTGTGTGCAAATTATCCAATCCAAATGTACTACCACCATCACCTGCAATTGGTAATCAGTGTCAGGTGAATTATTTATTTTCAGGTCTGCACCCACATGTCACTAATAAACTCTGGGCTGTTTAATATCTGTATGTTTCTGCACTCTTATGCTCAGTAGAAGCCTAAAACGAGCCTTAGGCCAAAAGTCATCATAAATTAACTGCATAGGACACAACAGAAATCAGAGCAAATAAGAGCTGAAACTAATATCAATCTACCAGTAAATCACCAGTAGTAAATTACAAATAAATCCACCGGCTCAAATGTAAGACAGTACACATTACTGGTACAACTGGAAACACATCACAAGGTATCAGTGGATGTGATGGGAGCTTTCTCCTCCCTATCTCTGTTAGTCCAGCACTGTCACTGAAGAGGACCGGTGGTCGGACTGGTTTCAAAGAGGACGCAGGTGTATTTGAGATATCATTATGTAAATAATAATGGCTGTTCTATCATGTCAAATGTTTGACAATGCTTGGTCTAAGGCCAAGTCACACCCAGCTGAGGAGCTACACTGAGTCAGGGATGAGCTAATCGATGGGTGTAAGGTTCCTAGCAGGAACCTGCACCTGCCAAAAAAAACCCTCGTACTCACATCCAGAGACAGAAAGCTGCTGCCTGGGTCCACTCACTCGTGTATATCTGCTGTATTAGCGGCTACATGGACGCAGTCGGGTGGTACAGCCCTGTGTTAGTCTGCCCAGCAGCAGCTCACTGACATGAGGCTATGAGCTAAACTGCTAGCTAGCGTGTGTGCTTTGAATGCTAGCCAGTTAGCGAGCCGGGGGTTGTGCGTTAGAGGCGGATGGATTAAAGTGAATCTTATCCCCGAAAAATACATAAAACACAACAGGCACTTGAAAACAATGCAGCTCTCACAGCGGGCTAAGTGGATAACGCCGTGTGACATTAGCCGGTGTATGTGGTACCTTTGTCTCTCTGATGTCCTGCTTCCCTCCTTCAGGGTACCACTGGACGCGGACAAATCCCCTGACGAGAGGCCGAGTCGGGGTGTCCACAGCGCTCTCAGTGTCCGAGCCACACGGGACTCGTCCTCCTCCACCTCCACCACCACCACCACTTCCTCCTCCTCCACCGCCGCCACCACCGCCGCCTCTCCCTCCGCCATCGTCGAGGTCCGAGTCTGAGTTAAAGTCCTCTTCGCCGTGGATCATCCGTACGAGGCCAAACCGGACTGAGCCGCGATACCGCCCGGAGACCAGGTCGTGGGAAAAGAGCAGGCGCTGGGAGCCGTCCGCCGTGGGAGACAGAGCCATGGATGGAGGCTCCGAGCCCGGGCTGGCTGCGGGAGAGAGGCCCGGGGTCGGGGATGCTGCCGCTATCGCTGCGTCCGTTGTGGCCGCCGCCGCCTCCGGTGCTACGGGCTCCGCCATCGCTGCTGTTGTCAGGGAGTGATGCTAGAGCGCGAGGATGACGGTGGAATGAAAAAAACGGTAACCTGGAAGCAGCGAAGTGCACGTGTTTACGTCGCAACGGAGAGCAGCGTAACTAGCGCAGTGTGACAGCGTCATCACGCAGTACGCGCTGTCACCACTGAGCGGCAGTGTGAGCCACGTCCTGTTACACACACTGAGTTTATCTTTAACTAAACTCTGTATTCTGTTGTCAGTGTGTGGGATTACATAACTGCACCTAAATGTTACATTAACGCTTCGTGTTTGACTGTCATTTAAATATATATCATATATATATATTAGGACTAACCACAAACAAAAGTGTATACATATATTAATGTATAATGAAGATTATTAATATTTATATTTTATTATATATTTATATTTGTATTAATATATTATTTATTATTTATATAAATAATTAAAATATTTGCACAGCAGTTTGAAAGATGTGTTTGTTGATATTGTTAAATAAAAAAACAACTGTGTGTGTGTGTGTGTGTGTGTGTGTGTGTGTGTGTGTGTGTGTGTGTGTGTGTGTGTGTGTGTGTGTATTTGTGAGTGTTTGTGAGTGGGTGGTTTTAAAGGTAAACTCCACCAACTTAGGATCCATGACCAGTTTTTCTCTGCCTTACAATCTTTATTGAATTATTGCACACACAGTTATAGCTACAAGCATACACAGTGAGTATTCATCTTAACAATGTGGAGCTACATGTTTATTAAATAATATAAATAGTGACACCCAAAAAGAACAATGTGTCTTTCTTTAAGATGAATATTCAAGTTCAGAGTTCTCTAACATTTCCAAGTTCAGTTCAGTTGTTCACAGCAACAACTTCAGTTATACTTTCTGATGTTTAAAGGAGAAGAAAAGGTTGATAATAAAAGCTATAACCAGTTTGACAAGTAAAGTCAGAGTAAGTGAAACTGGGCATCCTTGTTTAATTTACTAACTTAAACCTCTATGAATTCTTCTCCTCACATTGGATTTTAAACAATTATTTGTCATTTGTTTATTTGCTTTTTTTTGGGGGAAAAAAAGTCTTACATTTGGGTTTGTGGTTTTTGTCTGTTTATTGTAAGCAAAGACCTATAACAGACCCCAACACAACACAAAACAACATGAGCTCTTATAATTCTTTCAGGAAATCTTCTCATATTTAAAAATAACCCATAAAAGAGTGTACCGGGAAAGCCTTCACACAATTTAAGCTGAATGTTTATCTGGGGATGAAGATTATTTCCAACCTTGTGACCCTTACAAAGAGTTCACCTGCTCTTGGTGCCAGTTTGTGTTTGCTGGACCACTCAGGTGCCTCCTTAATACAAATTGCTAATTAAAAAGGTCAATTAAAGCATTGAGTCCTGACTTTAAAATATGGGTTACATCTTGTGGGGAAGTTTTGTAAGGTTTAGCTGGAGAGGACAACAACTGTCCATAAAACCAAATGGCTACTAGAAATTGTTGACACAGCATTGTTTAACACTGAAGAGGTGACAAACACACTCCCACACACCCTGTAATCCTCTTACAGATCTGGAAAAATAAAGAGTCGAAAGACCGTGAACTCGACTTAAAGGGACAACCGACAACCAGTGGAAAGTCTCTCTCAGATAAATCACATGAAGAGTGGTGAGTCCTCCAGATGGCCCAATTAGGATCCTCCTCAGTGAGACATGAACTGACATTAATAATGAATCACAATCCTTCCTGCTGTTCTAAAAGTAGCTATCATCCACTCAGGCGAGTCACTTTATTGAATGTTACATCAGAAATGACTCCTGTCAATACGTGGGTAACATGTCGGTGTGAGAACTCCAACACATGATCAGTAAAATCCAAATCTGCTGCGGGTCTGATGGTGGCATGACGAGGATAATTCTCAACACACGGATATCCCTCCTGACCCCGACTAAATATGTTTATTGTTCATTTCCCTCACGGGGGATGGAGGCTCATCCAGCTCGCCTCAGGATTATAACCAACCTCCCCTGCACACTAGGGGTATAAATACTGACGCTGTGCCACTCTCCGCTCAGTCCTTACGCGCAGTCCAGTTACGCACGGATCAGCCTTTTAGACGAAGAGATAGGCTGTTAAAGGAGATAGCAGCTGCAAGCCAGAGAGTAACATCTCGACACACTACTCTTTGCTTTACTTTAAAAATCGTTCGGCGTAAATAAAATAAATAAATAACAACAGGACCATGTCGGTGGTGAGCGCAGTGCCGTTCATGAAGCCGCTCCACATGCGCTCCCCGGTGCCGCAGGGCCGCCGCCACACGCTGCCGGCCAGCGAGTTCCGCTCCCTCAGCCCGGAGGACGCCATCAGTGTGTTCGAGATCGAGAGAGAAGGTGAGCTGACTCTTTTACTGACTTACATCACTTATTATTACTTAACTTAATAACTTCAGGACAGTAACTGTTCCCGGCACATTTACGCACACAGGAACATTCATTCAGCCTCCTGCAACCGCAACCGCAGCCCCAGTTTATGTTTTCATCCACACGTTGACAAAAAAAGTTAACATCAACTCACTGATCATTTATAATAACCTTTATTAGCACAAATTACAGTAAAAAAGTTATTTTTTCCATCGACCATAGCTTCACATCTACCTACTATGATGAGTAGGTCACTATAAAATAAGGTTACTATGGAGATTTAACTGTGTCCTGAATGCTTGTGAGATGAGTTCAGGTGCCTTTAACCTTCATTACATTGGTGAATGTGATCCAGTACATCCTAGTCACTCTATACGGGAAAATTAGTCCCACTACTCTGTCATAATTTTTGATCTCCTCCTCCACACAGCCTTCATCTCAGTGTCCGGTGAGTGTCCTCTCCACCTGGACGAGGTGCGTCACTTCCTCACACTTTGTCCTGAGCTGTCTCTTGGCTGGTTTGAGGAGGGACGTCTGGTGGCTTTCATCATCGGCTCATTGTGGGACCAGGAGAGGCTTAGCGCGGTAAGACAGAGCGGAGGACACCTGGACGGTGATTTATCTCAGACTGACTGGCAATGGAAATAAAAGACGAGGTTCAAAACAGATTAACAGAAGAGATTTTGACAGATTTAATGTGCTTCAGTGGGTGAGGATAAATGTTTGTGATGAAAACCCTCCTGTTCTACTACCTCTAATGTTTAAATGTATTCTTGTAACCATTCTTGTCCTGCACCAAAACTAAAATAGTTTACAAGATTCAAAAGTTTTATTTCTCAAATGCTCTCTGAATGCACAGTGGGAGTTATACTCTTGAGAAAAGGTTTGCAAATCTGTTTTTCAGTAGAAGAAAAATAATCTAAATGTCACAGTTGTCAGTTAAAAAACTTAAATTATGCAAATATGCAGGGCAGTTAAAAGGATTCAGAAGACAATGTGTTAAACAAGGCCAATGCTATACAGAGATCAGAGGCTAAAATATATCAAATTCAACTTTTTTTAATTTTGAAACAAAGTTTTTGATGAATCTCCAAAGATTTGCATATTAGCTATCTTATAAATCACAATTTCACAATAGAAAGTAGGCTTGAAACACATTTGATTTGCCTTAGGTTAAAGGAAAATACCATTTGTGTCCAGTCTTTCCAATCCTTCACCTGTTCTTACACCTCTCTCTTCCTCCCTCTGTTTTCCAGGATGCCCTGACTCTCCATAAGCCTCACGGGCCCACAGTCCACATCCACGTCCTGGCTGTCCACCGGACCTTCCGCCAGCAGGGCAAAGGCTCCATCCTGATGTGGCGCTACCTGCAGTACCTCCGCTGCCTGCCCTATGTCCGCCGTGCTGTGCTCATGTGTGAAGACTTCCTGGTTCCCTTCTATCAGAAGTCTGGTTTCAAGGTGCAGGGCCCTAGTGACATCACGGTGGGGCCCCTCACCTTCATCGAGATGGTCTACCCAGTCAGGGGCCACGCCTTCATGCGCCGTAACAGTGGCTGTTGAGGACAGAGGGACTTAGTGTGGATTCTAACTCAGTGGTGGTGGGACACCCTCCCCTTGGAAACAAAATGAGGGGACATGTGAGCAGCTTTGTTGTACACGAGCAAGGAGCGCAGCCTTTGTGGTCATCACTGTGAGTGAGACTTGTTCAGCAGGCGGTAAGGTGTGTGTCTGCAGGGAGCAGAAAACACGCAGCTGCCATCCAGCTGCCAGAAACAGCTGTTTTTAAAGGTGGTCGGAAACTACAACTATGTTGATCTGTAGTTTAGTGTGAAAGCACGAAAACCAAATCATTAGAGCAAAGTCCTGAAAGAATGTAAGGACTTGTTTTAATTTTCTTTTTTGTATAAAACGATTTTATTTTGATACATTTATTATCATATTCAATAGAACTCAGCTGCCTTGTTTCTTTCTTTGCCCTTTATATATATATATATATATATATATATATATTTGCTATTTAACCAATCAAACATGGTTCTATTTTTAGTAAATAAAACCAGTATCTGCCCATTATTAATGCATTCTGTCCTGTATAGTTTTGTATAAACAGTATGCCTTTCATAGCAGCATTAGATTACTGTTTATGTCACACTTTGAACTATGATAATGGTACACCTATAAGGTAAAATGCCAAAGTAAACAGTTCAACTACTATGGAATAAAACTACAAAGGGAGAGATGTCAGCAATCAAACATCACATAAGTCAACGTGTTAACTTCAACATGCTTTATGTTAAGATTTGAGTGATCCTGTCTCCATCAGTGACTGCTACAAACGCCTGCTGCAGCATTGTAAACCTGTTCCGAAAGTCTGTGATGTGTGTACAGTATGTGATGTATGTTAAAGAGAAAGAATATAGCCTTTCTTAGAATATAATTGATCATATTATATGTGCACATACAATCACCAATATAATAAGTATATTTAGATATCCTAAATATATGTGCTTTCAGTCTCTCCTTGATAGTCTCCTCTCACCTTCTCCCTTGTAGACAAGCACCACCTCTGCCTCCCAAAGTCTTGAATCAAGACAAATGTTTGTTTGTTTTTATTTACAATGTTTTGTTCTTGAAATAATAAAAGGTTATATTTTCATTTCTTCTCTAAGGTCTTTTTATTTACAACGAAATAGCAATTGCCATTTTAATAGTATAATAATAAAACAATTGCACCACAAGGTACCTTTAGTAGCTGTTCTGGAGCTTTCAGTCAGGTCTAATGATTTGAACAGTTCTCGCAGTGAGGATTTAAGGATTTCTGGATTTTGATCATTTACATTAAATAAGATTAATTAAAATATACATATATATAATTTGCACGTATCTCTGCTTTAATGTAAAAGTTGTTTTTTTAGGGTCAACATCTGACTGCTGTGGTGCCAACCATAAAGAAAATGGTATTGATGCCAGGCACTGCAGGGGACTAATATGAAATTAGACTTCTCACTGACACACATGAGCTCAGTGGCATTTATTTTGACAATATCTTTAACACACATAGATTTTCACATATAAAACTGAAGAAAAACAGAACAGTACCTTGAGCATGCTCTGAAACCCATTTGAAACTTTCCCTTTTTATTCCAATAAATAGAAAAGGGTGAATTTATTTGGTCCCAATACAAACAAAGCAGCATAACTGCTGCCTACAGTCATGATTGAAGATGTGTGTTGTTGTGGTTCAGATCAAACACGCACATGCTTACATGTCAAAAGGCACAGTCTACACAGAGATGGATGTCACTGTTCAGACTTTACTTACACTTACTGAAGCAGAGCCCTGTCTAAAAACAGATGGCTTTGAGAATCCAAATACGGTGGTGTTAAAACTGATAAAAATATCAGAACCTGGATGTTTTTAACAACTCCTGTTCTCAACTACACCAGATGATCAGTGAGTCAGCCACACCAACAAACTCAGATAATCTTATAACTCACTTAGTAACTCACATAATCCTCCACATTACGGTGGCTTTCCTAACAGCTGGGGTCAACACATGCCAGAATCACCAACAAGCACGAGACGGGAACCCGTGAGAGAAATGAATAACTTCAGGTGTTATGACTTCTCAAATCATATTGTTACACCTAACACAAAGTCAACAGCAACAGTCTACTGTTGGTCATGGACTACAATCCAAGCAGTTGTCTGCAAGGGTTGAAGACAAAAAGATACGTGTGAAAACAAATGTATACTTGGAGAACAAGACTTTGTCCAGGTTAAGTCTGAATGTGTCTGTTTGAAGAAATTCCTATGCAACAGTACTGTTTGAAGCAGTTTAAAATCCATATTTCTTCATTGATTTTTTGTCAAGGAGAGTTAATGGTGTAAATGGTAAAAACAAAGCCTTGAATGGTATATTTCACATGTACACATATAACATATTAAGGCTAAGGTGAAACATAAATTACATCTCTTCACAACGTGATCCTCTGACAGCTTTCACAGAGTCAAAAAATACAGTACAAAACTTGCTCTGATCTAACAAAAATGCCTATTTAAGTACATCTACAAAATGATTTAGGCACCACTGTGTTATTGGACAAATATGAGCAAATACGAGACATTATAAGTAGACCTTGGCTGAGAACTTGTGTTTGTGACAGTGACATACAGAAAACGATGTGATTGTGAAAATTAACATGCATATATAAGCAGCATGTCAGGCTTCTTTGGTAGATTAAGGTCAGAAATCTGTTCATCACCATTCAGTAAGTTGATCACAAGCAGTATGCAAAAGTAAGATGAGGCATCTCTGTAAAATGGCATAGTCTGTTTAAGGCAACTAGTGGTTTTAGATAGAAATCTTGCCTTAATTGACCACTGATATTTGACTTTAACTATTCCAGCTGCACAGTTAATACTTGGAACACATTGTTACCTTTAGCATAACATTTCACTGTGCCAAAGAATATTGACATGCCAAGTGCATACATACAAAAAAGCAAAGATTTAACACAAAAAAAAGAAGAAGCATTTCACGAGACAATGAGAAGCAGCAGAACTGAATGACAGCTTTTGTAGTGTTAAACGCAGTGTTACTGAAAACAAGAATTAGTCGTAGGCATCTGATGTGTCTCAAGATAACTGATGATCTACTATGGCATCATTCTTCCTTTTCATCTCAGTTATTTGTCCTCCATAAAGTTAAAGGGAAAAGTGACAGTAGGCCAGAGATGCCTTTGTCTTCTTTTGTCATTTGGCTTCTTTAGATTGAACTGAAGGAACCAGGCAGTCTCTCGCTCTGTAGATCTTTTCCTTTAGGTCCACCCAGCTGTACGTAGTTTTGACGTCCTGAGTATCTTTTCCTGTCGTCTGATTCTGAGGATCTGCTAGGGCATTAGCAAATTAACCTGCTAGGTAGTGCCAGACTTGACTGAGGATTAAAAAGGTTGAGTTAAGTTTTACGGAAGTAAGCAAATCAGCAGGCTGAGGAGAAGAGACTGATCCAGGTCCGTTACTTTGATCAGGTGCTCTGATACGTGAATAATTAAAAATGTTATTGCCACATTCTTAAAAAGGCCTGACCTGGTCATTTGCTAGAAGATAGTGGATCAGTAACACAGATGATGTGGTCATCTTAGACGTCATTAGTAGCCTAGAGACTAGTGCACCACATCATTAATGTTGTGGTCTATGTCGTACTTTTCACAGAACTTGCTTGTGAAGGGCAGGCAGGTGAGATGCTCCAGCCAGTGCCAGTGAATCGGGTAAATGTAAAACCAAACGATGAGGGAAGAGAACAGCCCAATGTAGGCCAACAGCGAGACAGCAATGAGGATACGTTTCCGGTACTTGTCAAAAGTCCCGAAGGTGACGTAGGGCAGGAAGGCAAAGGAGAGCAGCAGGCCGCTGAGGAAACCAAAGATGTGGGCGATGTTGTCAATCCACGGCAGGAGGCCACACAGGAAGAGGAAGAGGACGATGCCCAACAGTTTGAGAAAGGCCTTCCATGGCTTCTCCAGCATCTGCCAACCTTGAAACAGCTCAACAAACAGGCAAGCAAGGAGTCCAAACTGAGACCCTGCTGGACCCACCTGGAGGGAGAGGACAAGAAAGAAAGACAAGTTACAGACCATCCAATTTAGTTTTTTTCAGAATTTATTCACCAATATGTATGAAAACCGGTAGGCACATGTATCATGTCCAGATGTAGAAAAAAGCATTTTGAAGCCATTGTCAATTTTGAATCTAATGGTAATATTTAGCAAAAATTCCTCCTAGACAATTCATCAGATCAACTTGAAATTGGGTCATAACTATCTAAAGACATTCGAGTTTGGTAGATCACTGAACGGTTTGTCCAAGGTGTGCTTTTAAAATTCAATGTTTTGCCATTAAACAGGAAGTTGTTGAGTGTACATTGTCCAGTTGGCCTCACACTTCATGTGTTTGATAAAAGTCCTGGTCTGAACACATCTACGTGACAATATTCAGTCAGTGATAGCGCAGGAAACAGGATGTCCGTTTTGTGAGACAATCATCATTTGATGTATATGAAATTTTCATTGTGTAGTGTGGTCTACACTTGATATGTTGGTAGATAACATTCACCGATCAGCCAAAACATTATGACTACTGACAGGTGACTTGAATAATGCTGATTATCTGGTTATCATAGTAACTTGTCCTTCAAAGTTGATGTGTTAGAAGCAGGAAAATGGGCAGCGAGAGGATTTGAGCGACTTTGACAAGAGTCAAATTGTGATGGTTAGACGACGGGTCAGAGCATCTCCAAAACTGCATCATGAAACAATAAAATACTCTCACACTTACATAGCAACGCCACATTCACCCATTCACACACTGATGGCAGAGGCAGCCATGCAAGGTGCCAGCTACTCATCAGAAACTAATCCCATTCACACACACACACACACACGCACACACTCACGCACGCACCAGGAGCAATTTGGGGTTCAGCCCAAGGAGACTTTGCAATGCAAATGGATGAGCCAGACATCGAACTGCCAAACTTTTGATTACTGGATGACCCGCTCTACCTCCTGAGCCTCAGCATCCCTCTCTGGTCACAATTTAACAAATATTCTTGAAAGTAAATCAGAATATTGCATTGATTACATTTTTGGGGTGTCTCAATAGCTCTGTGGTGATTATGAAACCTAAAGAAGATGTTGTTCATGTTTCCTGTACAAATACAGGTTTAGCTGCACACAGTCTCTTAGTTTTAGATCCAGTTCTGTGGAAGGACCACAGTACGAGCCCTGGGTCAGGCAGTAAAGGTGAGCAGATTAGAGTGACGTCAGGGCTGAGTTTGGATGCTTGGCCCAGTCAAAGCCAGATGGCTAATCTGTGAAGACATTGAACTGCCACAAACAGAAAAAGAGCATGGCATAGCACTTTACCCACACACCCCAGACACGCAGGCTGACACGCGCCATAGTCACTCACCATTGGATGAGATGAAAGGTATTGGAACAGATGTTAAAGGATGGACCATCTCTGCTAACCTAGCTAATTTTAGTGATTTATTGCAGCACATTAATCACTGGGAATGGAAACAGGTCTCTCTCAAATCAATTTTTCTATTTGATTCCTAGCAGTGCGTGTGTGTGTGTGTGTGTGTGTGTGTGTGTGTGTGTGTGTGTGTGTATGTATGTATTAAAAGGAAGCCGTCTATCTTTTTCATTTGACTAAAAAAATCAGTTGAGGGGAACCAAAGTGACGTAAAACCAGGTATACTTCAGCTAACACCAGTTTAGCTTCTTGACACCTTACATGTTCCCAGCCAGTGTTTTCCCAGACAGACTGACTGTCGTCCTCATCCTAATTCCTCCTGGCAAGTGACACATTTAATCTCCACTTACACTTACTTTTTCCAAAAACGTATTCCAGTCCCTATTTAAAAAACATAACACCATTTTTTTTCTTAACATCTGTGTCTAGTAAAGACATTTTATTAATTTGTTCAAATATTCCACTTTTTATTAAGAGTTAATCAAACTGATATAAACTTTTACTTGTCTCTCTGCGGAAAATTAGTAGAAACTAAAGTTGCTGTGCTTTCACAATTTAGATCTGCTTTACCTGTGAGAATTATTCTTCCAGTCACAGCTGTTGTTAGAGAAATTAATGCTCAAGCCACAGGGTCTCCTTAACTCAACAGTTAAGGATAATCTACTTAAACTGCCTCCTTAAGTGGCTTGACCGCCCTGTGTTGTACGTTACATGTGCTTCCTCTGGTTATTCCTGGTGTGTGAAGACCTGTGAGCCAGTCAGTGCTAAAGAGAGCTGGACAGTGGGATTTCTGGCTCTCATGACAAGGTGCGTCACACTGAGAGCCACCTCATGTCACAACACGCAAATATCAGATGAGAGCACTGGGGTCAGCTTCTGAAGAAGATAAAATGTGTCTCAATGACATCAGGACATAAAAACAAAGGCAAACAGGAGGAACTTACAGTACACAGGTATGCCAGGAGGAAACTTTGTGTTCATAAAGGTGTATAGACCAGAAGCATCACCAGACACGTCTAGTCTGTGCAACAATTGTCTTTGTTTAATAGAAAAAATGTAATCCCATTTACTAAGTACCGTAGCAGTGGCCTTTGTCGACCCACACAATGGCATTAGGCTAATCTCTTAAAGGGGAAAGTCAGCTTTACAGAGACACACTGAAGAGACGTGCCAGTAAAAAGTAGGTAATCCAGACTGTGTTCTTTTCACATGCTGAGTAATTTGCACAGCTCAACGTGTTGTTTTTTGCAAACATTACACTGTCAGCTAGAACAGGATACACTTCTACGTAGAGACTAGACTACAGAATACTGTACTTCAACAAAGGACGGAGACATTATTGCAGTTTCTGACTTATTGTGCTATCAGAAATGAAAACTAATAAATATTAATTTGTTTTTAATATCAGTTGATTTCCTGGTTCATACTTCTATTTTCTCCCTGTATGTATGGCATAAAAACGTGTGTCTATTGTGAGTCACTTAGGAATTAGTTTCAGACAGACAGAAAAGAGAACAGGCTTTACTGGTCAGAGTGTAATAAGCATGTACAGACATTAAACTAAGATAGTGTTTAGCTGCAGCTGACTCAGCAACCTATCTCTCTTGTACACACACACGCACGCACGCACGCACGCACACACACACACACACACACACACACACACACGCACACACGCACACACCTGCTTAATTTGGTGTGCCAAGAGGATTGCTTTCCATCAGCACATCCGACAGGACATTACAGTGGAATAACTATGGTAACAATGTCCAAATAAAATATATGAAGCTTCATCCTACAGGTGTGAAGACAGGTGTATGTCAGCATAAATTATTGTATGTGTGTGCTGTCTCTAGCAATCCAGAGCAAACACTGTATTTAACCAAAGTAGCTTTTCTCAGGTCTTCATCTTCTGGTTTTATATTAAGGTAGTCCCTCTTTGTCTAAGTGCCCAGTCTTTTGTTCAGGCTTTCATGCTTACCTTTGGCTACTTTCTTTCTGTTGACGCTCTGTCTCATTTGACGTTTGAAATTCTAAAAAAAAGAAAAGTTGCTACCAACCTGAGTTCTGTGTGATTTTCTTTGGGAGATGATAAGAGACTAAAACCAACAATACATGGAGAACAGTGCAGCAGCAGTGCTAGAAATGTAGTCTTACAGTGTGTTCTTGACTCAGTTTCTCCAGGCACTTGCACAGTTTACACCATGAGGTGTTTTCTGTGCCCTCTCTATACCCTTCTGGATGGGTGCACTCAGGTCTGCCCTAGTAATCCCCAGTATGAGAAAGTGCCCTCCAGTAAGTGAGCTAAGCTAAGCTGAGCTAAGCCAGAAAGGAAACAACAGGCAGGCAAACAAACTATGGTCAGAGTGGAAAAATTTCTGTCAGCATTTTTTAACATCATCAAAAACTTGTGCAACATGAGAGCTTAAGACTGTGTTGGTTAATGTGGGACAATAAGACCAGATTTAGCTATGAAGTATAAATAAAGTGGAACAAGGCATCAAGTACAATGGTCTGACAAAGCTTTGGGTCTTTAATTAATTCAAGAAATATTAAAGGAATTTGGAGACTAGGAGCACAGGTCTCAAATCTGTCTCAAAGCTGTGTTAATATGTGCGTGTGTCAAATGTGTTGTAGAAATAAACCAGCTTCTCTTAGCAAGAAAAACTGTTTTTCCCTTTTGTAAGGTTCTTCTTGATGTTGAGCACCATAAATACATTTTTGTTTGTAGATGCTCAATTACAAAAGATTCTTGTGTGCATAGTTTGTAATTAACTGATTAGTTAACTTTTGTATTTTGAACACACACATAGGTTAAAAAAAAGTCAATGAATCAGAATTTTTAGCAAGTTAGTGCTTGTAGGCATTTTAGAGTCTATACGTGTGCACTTAATTTATGTGCGTGGATATCCATGTATTCGTGTGAAGAACTCACCTCAGCTCTGTAGGGCAGGAACAGGGCAGAAGCGAGATTTCCAGTGATACCACTGAAGACATAAATGATGGAGATGCGGACCCATCCTGCCAGTTTCTCCAAGTCTCTCAGTATTGTCATTTGGAACACCACAGACACCACGCAGTGTAACAACCTACACACACACACACACACACACACACACACACACACACACACACACACACACACACACACACACACACACACACACACACACACTCTGTGAGAATGGCACATCGCTGCAGCCTGTGTGCATTTCAACCAGTGCATAATTTAAAATATGCATTTTCTTCATTGACCTTCCTTGGCCTGTTTGCTTGCATTGAAAGTAGACCTGGGGGATTTCCCATGTGCCTTGTATTAGGACTAAGTATCAGTACTCATGTGAATGAACAGCTCACATTGATGTATTGTTGGGGGCTCATTTAGAAATATGTCATTAGGTTTAAATCCTGAAAGATGCTGACATAATCCATAAACCACACTTATTAATCATTCATAGTAAATAATTTAAATAGCTCACTGACTCGTCGTAATAGGCTCAACACGTTGTCACAGCATTTTAAACATTGTCTCAAAACTATTTAGCAGTTATCAATTGTTACACTTGGCTGACTCAGCCAAAACAGATGATTTCTATGTAATGGAAATATATTAGTTTTACAGTAACTGTGAGATAAAACAGAACAGAAAACATACATAACAACTGAAAATAATAAAATTAAGAACCCCATCTAAATTTATTCAAACTGGTTACTTGAAGACAAATTAAATCTTTGTGTAAGGATGTTTGTGCGTACCCAGCATGGAGGAAGAGAGAGAGCCAGAGACGGTAGACCTGATCTGGAACATCAGGGTTGAGGAAGGGCAGCAAGCCGCAAACATCATCCAGACAGTCGACCTGCACAACAGTAGTGTATTGGTTACACATATACACACACACACACACACACACACACACACACACACACACACACACACACACACACACACACACACACACACACAGACAGACTACCTGAGAGCAGAGTGTGGCCTCCTCATGGAAGTAACCATGCATGAAAGAGCAATACTCTCTGGTAGTGATCTCACATCTGCAGGAGGGACAAGCAAAATACAATTAACATTTTCTCTACATGACCTTGCAATGAAATGGCAGCACCAGATTAAAAAGTGGGACAGTAGATTAAGGTGATAACAACACACAGTGGAAAGTATGATGTCTCTCACCTGCCCTTAGTACCTATACAGCAAGGCCGTCCCTTGATGTTACAGTCCATGTGTCTGTAGCCAGTGTGATTCCACTTCTTGGGATATGTACACACCTGGAGAAGGACAAGCAGTGAGCTGTTACACAGACATATAATAATGCAGTGATCTTTGCCTTTATATTATTTATTATTTCCTGTTATGGACCTATAACACAGAGAGTAGCATATAACAAATATTTTGTTTAAATGAAGAAGTGGACTGTGGTAGTGTATAAATTGATTTCCAAGTAAGTTAGTAGTTGACTCCTCACCTGCCACTGGGTGATGTCATCTGGCCACGTATGAGGCTCTGCAGAGGCAGGCTCTTCACACACTCTGCTCACAGCAATTTTGACAATTAATTCAGTTACAACTCCATAATGACAACTTACATTATTATTATTATTATTATTACTATTATTATTATTATTATTATTAGTGTTCAAGGTGTCATGTCACATAAGAACCACACACATATTCTCACCTGGGATCCTGGTGACAGACAGAACCAGAGAACCTGTTGATGTCTACAGGCTCATTGTCCCATTTAATAAAGGTGGCCAGCGTCTCCTGCATACACAGTTATTTTAGTATTCAAGTTTAGTATTTATTTCATAGAATCACAAGGGGAATAAATAATAAACAGGATATCAATCATTGTGTATATTTATGTAACAACACATTGAGACAACAAATATAGAGATAACAGTTAACAACGTAATCATAAGAAACAAGATGTCCTTGCCTTGAGAAAAGTGATTTGTTACATTTAAATATTGTTGCATTTCCTTTTTAATTGTGTGCGTTTCAATGATTCACGTCTGTGTATTTAAGCTTTAAAACACAGAGAAAGCAACGTGTTGACACATGTAAATAATTACAACAGCAAAAACTGTGTGGAATGACGTAAAGAATGGTGATTAAATGCTTATAAGCTTATAAGCTCACGTGTGAGTATGTGTTTAGGAATGTATGGTGTTTCTAGTCTGTGGTGTGAGACAATAAAAAAATCTTGTGTATGTTCATTGCATGTTGACCTCTTTCTGAAACCACAGCAAGCTTTTATACAGAAGCTAATAAGCTAAGTATGAAGATGCAGGATGAAACACTTACGGAGCAGTCGGAGCTGAGGGTCTGCACACATCCAGAGTTGTCATTCTGAACACAGCAGCCAGACTGTCTCTCCAGATCTTTGGCATTCTGAATCAGACGGACTATCTGTCTGTCCTGACGGATGCACGGTGAGAACTTGGCCCCCAGGTGGATCAGGTCCTCCTGTAGAGTGGAGGAAATTATAGTAAAGATGCAAAAACGTGGAAACCCACAGATAGTAACGGGATCTACAGAACAGAAAAAATGCATTATTTCTGGATGTAAATTAAGTTTCTCTGTTTTTAACAAGTTGTTAATGTATGTTAATGCAGACAGACATTTATATATTTTCCAGGAATTAAATAATCCTCTGGGTTCAATTTACAATACTGACTACTTGAGACTTTGTATGTCTAGTATGGGGAACAAAAATAATGTGTTTTTGCATTTAATGTGCAAAGTCACAAATAAAACAGTGTGGGGGACGGAACTTTGTGTGAGTTATAGTATGTGACAGGAAATGCAGTAAGTGATGAAGAGAGAAAGACACACAAGAAATTATAGAAGTAAATATCCTCATTTATCTATTCTAGTATTTTATAATCTGGCTCTGTAGAATTGAGCCAGATTAGTGAACATCATTTTAGGGAACAGATCACATATTTTATACATGAGTGAGTGTGAGTGTCCATTTAAGTAGATAGTGAAAAACATCTAGTGTAATACAGCAGCTGAAGTAAGACCAGCAAGAGACTCACAGAGCTGGGGCCAATCCAGAAGTTCTCCTGTTGGATATACTTGACACTCTCATAAATGCCTTTGTTCTTCAGCACCTATAGAGGGCGACAGAGTGACACAGTTGGCAATTGACCCTCTAAACGACAGAAGTACCGAATCATTGTTCATTGTTCATTTATGATTTCCAAGTAGAAGATTATTTGAAAAAATACATTTGGATGATTGTGTTTGCTAGTTTGATTTGACAAAAAGATTAATTTTCACTTTCAAAATGTATTTCAGCCATTTATTGACTGAGCAGGTTATATGATTGCATCCAAACAGCATAGATTCTTAGCCTCAAGGCTCAATTTCACAAAGAGCAACAACAAGCCATGTCAAAAAAATCTGATCGGATCAAAGTATAACAAAGTCAGTATTTTGCAGTTTTAAAGTTTCACTCACCAGTTCAGATGTAGAATGTTGTGCGAACCCCACAGGGGCAAAACCATATGTACAACAGGCCAGCAAAGTGATTACTATATGGACAAATGTGATCCAGTAGGTAAAGTAGGGCCTAAAAAAACACAGAGAGAAGAACCACTGTAAATCAACCAATACATACTGTCAGTCTTGGTGTCAAACACCATATTACAAGGGAGGAAACATTCTACTAAAACTCCTCGTACTGATCTAAATATAACTGGTATATAATCCTCAACCTTTCATGTCACTTTACTGTTACGACTGACCAAAAAATTAAACAAAACTGTGAAGTAGCTAATTTTACTGGTTAGTTTTCTTTCACCGATTATGGTCTACAAATCAATTATTTCAAGTTTGTGAATAATCCACAAGCATGTCAGTGTACATGAGCATCTACTCATTCCCAACCTGTGGCTGTGGAAGTCTTTGAGCTGCTTCTGGACGTTGCTGCTGAGACTGCGTCGGTAGTGCCGGTTCAGCCACTTCCCCACAACGCCCATGCCGTACTCACGCTTATGTTTGTCAAATGCAAAGTGCTTAACTTGAGAGGCAATGCGACGACCTCGACGAGGATGGCTCTTATCGTGCACTACTACTGGTGTCCTGGGTGTTCGAGATATGTCCTTACTGAGGTTGGGATAGAGGGGTGACAAAGAGGGTGAGGCAAGATTGGTGGAAGGGGCAGAAAAGTAGGGATTAGACAGATTAAGCATAAAACAACAATGAAGATGTACAAACTAAATGCATGTATGGAAAAAAAATATTTTATGGAAAAATGTATTTGAGCAGTATGTCAATTCTGCTTTTGTTACAGTCTACATATTGAAGTTTTATTGACTTTCTAGAGTCATACCTATTTGGCAGACCTTAGAGTCCATATTTAATAAAGGGTCATCACATTTGAAAGCATGGATGCTCCAATTTATGGATTCGAGTTCACTTTCTAAAGGTACTGAAATGTTTTTGGTTGTGTATTTACTCACAGGCTTGGGAACTTCTGATCAGGCTGCTCGCCGGGAGTAAAGGATGCAGACATGGGAGGCGATTCAAATACATCATCAGCCATAGAGTACAACTCATCATGGACATCAACCTATGCAGGAGAGGTAATGAAAGTCACAGAGTAAGAATAGAAGGAGAAAATGGAGGTCAGTAATGACATTTACAGCAGCCAGGCCTCATGTATGTTGAGACTACAATAATATGGAGAAAGGTGAAATATATGACACCTGAGATCATTAGCATGTTCTGAGTTGTATCTGTCAAACATTTCTATATTTGATGATTTGATTTGATTGTTATATATACTTATTATATATGGATGTTTGATCACTCATCTCCATGTTGAGGTGTCTTTCAAGCAGTAATAGTCAGTTAATAGTCAGACAAGGCAGAAGAAATGAGAAGAAAGAGAGAAGAGGAAGGCTAGAGAGAAACATTTTAAATCTACAAAAGGAGAAATAAAGTTGTTATAAATAATAATAAAGAGATGGACACAGTCCTTGCTGACATGACGATGGCGGTTATGTGAGAGGAATGAAAGAGATGTGAATGAATATATCACCGCATAGATGGCACAGTTGCTGACCTGGCGGCAAATGTGTGTCTGAACATACTGTAAATAGTAAAAGAAGGGCAAGAGATAACGAAAGAAGATGGTGGTTGCTGAAGAGAGCAGGCTGATAATAGAAGCAGACGAGTAGTGAAAATGAAATACAGTAGTGGAGAAGTGTGACTGCTGACATATGCAGGAAGGGAAGGAAGTACAATGAAAAAAAAAAACCCAATGAAAGTCAAAGCAAAGACACATTGCTGCCAAGCCACAAACAGCATCTGCTGACCTTGCTAAAGAAGAGCGACTCGGACGTGTCTGCGGAGTCCACAGTTTCATCATCCATCCAGCTGGGCCTGGCAAAGCTCCTCTTGGGGAAACTGCGACCTGTCTGAGAGCCTGCCAAGCCGCTACGACCCTGAGCAACCCACAAACCAAATAGTACGTTTTTTTACACATGCATAATGTTTCTTAGATGTGTTCAGCTCTACTTAGACATAAGATAACAATAATAAAAACTTTAAAAAAGGTATCTTATGCATTTTACCTTTTATCTTATAAAGATATTTATAACTTTGGCATTTTCTTCAAAGGGGCAACTGAACATGCACCCAAACACACAGGAAACCAACTGCCTGATTTGTTGATTCTGATTGTTGAGGTTGTGTCTACACTGAGTTAAGTTGTCAACATGCTGCACTATGCAAAAGTCTAGATAATTCTCAGGTTCTTGCACTACAAAATACAAATTTTAGAACAAATACTTCTAATCGTGCGTCTGACATTTGCACAGTATTTTCTTACGGTTTTTTTTTATAACATTTAGAAAATGTAAATCAATTACAAATTGGTAGCAAAAGTATATACACCCTTTATGTCACTTGGGCTTAGTGTACTTGATTTGAACATAAATATTCATCATTCACATTTGTATTAATTCTGCCTATTAAGGTAACAAAAGTATATGACAGATCTCTGTGGAGTCTGCATTTTAGATTGTGGAACACCATGCTCATGTTTTCCGAAGACAGAGAGATTTCACAGAGATATATTTTATGTTTTCACTAGATTAAACAAAATTGTGAATAGCAATTAAAGTTCCTGTGGAAAAAACAAACTGAAAACCCCTACCTAATGCCAAAAATAAGTACTAAAACTGGAACACATCATAACACACACACAGTGGTTTTATGGTACTCCACCCACCCTCATTAGGTTGGATGCAGCTCGGATGCTCATGCGGGCAACAGACTCCCTCTTACGCCTGGGAAAGCGGCTGTACCCGGAGCGCTGGCTGGTGAAGGAGCTAAGTGAGGTGACACCCGGGGTAACCGGACCGCCCTGAGTGATGTGGGGTGTCCTGGGGGAGCGACTGTCCATCTCATCTGGGCAACGGAAAGCACGCCCCCGTGCCAGGGGATCTACAATCTACGAAAAAAGAGATATTAGTGTCTTCAACCTGACATAAATATTTGAGTTATGTCATGACATTAACTTATCTAATCCTACTAAACAATTGCTGTAGTAATTTCTTATCACCGGCCTTCCGTATTACAAGAATGAACAGGTGCAGAGTCCAAAAATCAGGTGAGGATACGCACAAGATAGAGAACAAAAGAAAATCTAAATAAATATTGGATGAGTACATGAGTAGATGAGTAGAGCTATTTGACACAGACTGAGGGGACATGATTCATCTGGGACACAGATGGTCCACGTCTGTCACTGTACAGCACTCTGCTTTATTGAAGCCAGACACATTTTTTCACCTCTTCTCCATCTTATTCTTTCTTTTTGCTCCTTTCCTTACAGACAAGCCTCTCAGTGCAGAACAACAAGATTTGGGTGATGTTATACTGTGTTGAAATAAATGACCTAAATGTTCAGTCTCTTTGCTGGCTGTTCTGACACATTCAGAATCGTTACAACTTTTTCCATTAGTATTTAACAGGCGGCTGTTAAAATATATATTCATGTAATAATTAAATTCATATCATAAATGTGACAACTAGTCGGTTTTTGGCTTTAAGTAACAAATACTGGTCGAGTAGGAAATCTTCAGTCGGAGACAGCCCTAGTGATCATATGTCTCTACAACAGGAGAATACCTTGGGCATCTTGTGTGTGGCTGGTGAGTCCAGGCCCTGGTCGATGCTGGTGGCCGTCTCAGGCTCTCTATATTGGGCCTTCAGCTTGCCATAGCGCTGGCTGCAGTGGCGCAGGCTTTTCCTGTGCCATACCTGCTGCTTGGTCTCACAGTTCTCCCCGACTCCAAACCACTGGGCTGTATTTCTAGAGGTACAGGAAGAAGAGAGTGGCCTCAGAATCACATAATACAGAGTCAACAGCAAGGAAAATAATGTTCAGGTAACACATACAGTATGTGCAGCAGTTCCACTACTAACATCTTAATAATGCAAGAAATCAAATAATAAAAGCTACTATTAAGTTCAACAGAAGGAATTCTGATAGCCAATGGCAAATACTACTGCACACATGTAAATACTGTACATCAGGCATTACTTGCTGATGAATGCTATAGATAGATTTAATTAATCAACTGTTGGGAATAAAACATGCACTTTTCGATTCTTAGTGAAGAGTGCTTTGCTGGTTGTTTTTTTCACGAGTTCATGACCTTGATGACTATTTATGTATCTGACTAGCATCTGATTGACTCTGAGATGTTGACCAACATGAACAAAACTCTCCCACTTACCTGCGGATGCTTTGTGAGAGTGACGTTTGTCTGCCAAATGTTGCCCTCCTCTCTCCGGCTGAGAAGCGTCCATCTCCGGTTCCACTCACGCTCTCTGACACAGAACCGGTGGCATGACCACTCACGCTTTTTTTCAGAGACGAACGCAATGGCTGACCAGAGGCAAGGAGAAATAATGTTACAGTAAAGTAATCGTTGTTATAGTATAATATAAATAGTGCATACAGAGTGGAAAATTGAGCTATCAATCAGTGTTACAATTACTGTTGTAGGAATATTCCCAAACCTGAATAAAAGAGCAGCAGCAACAAGGCAGGGAAGACATAAGAAACTATTGTAAGAACATATACAGACCTGGATAAATTAAGGTCTAAAGTACTGTACAATTTATTATAGCAGAACCTGTAGGAACATGTAGAACACCTCAGATGAAATTACTATAAAAACACACAAGACTGTTAAGAAAGTAGGTAGGTAATTATTGTAATGAATGCAATACTCAGGATCATTAGGAGGACTAAATCCCAGTATGGAGATAGTTGGATTAAGTGCACACTTAATGTGGACACAATTGTTTAGTCAATATTTTATATGATTGGGTATTGCTAATAGGATCAGAAGAACACTCCTTCCCTCTATTCTCTAAAACACCTACTTGTGTATGCCGTTTATAGTGTTTTTCTGTTATGTGAGGTGCAGTGATTCCTCTGAGAGTCCATTATGTTAACCTGCAGTGACTCTGCAGTCAGTGAGGCTAATGGTCTCATCATTCTGAGAGTTAATGGGGCTCGAAGTGAGCTGTAAGTCAGCCATATGTTCAGGTTGTAGCTCAGCTTGTTAAGACGAGACTGACGTTGTTTCTGCCGCTAGAGAGCCGTTATCAGAGAAAAACATTGGTTGCACATAAATTCTACAATCTTGGTCACTTAACAGGCTTAACAGAAAAAAAGATTGGATTAATCAGTAAATCACAAGTAAACAGTGTGTTAGACTGACTTTTGTAGTCTGAATTCATGGAAGCACAAACTCTTTGTAAAGAGTAATGTAATTGTGATGGCCAGTAACAAAGGGACACTATACATACAACAGTTACAAGATAACTGTTCTTGAACACATGCAGTAATGTGTGTCTGCATGGCATATAACAGCACACATAGCATAAGACCTAGAACATTTCCTAGCCTTATTCTTTGGTTCATTACGTTTTGCAATAAAAATAACTCAAGTTTTCTAATGTGCATGTATTTGTTCCAGGTTTAACTACAGTACATGATGTAGCAAACAATTTCCATATCTAGTTATACTTCCTTCTTTGCATTGCATTTCCTTTATTACACTAGTTGCTCTGTAGGAACAGTTTAACTGCAGCATGCTCGATTAAACTCTGACTACCTACTACTTTGTGAAGCTGAAATGCCAAGAGAATGGGGTCCTCGGGGGGAGAATGTATGGCCTAGTGCCAAAAAACCACAAGACAGCTGTCCAAAATGCCTCCCTGCTTGAACAAATGGCAAGTTCAGAGGAACAGAAGGAGAGCATGCTACCCCCATTAACATGTTTTAATCCCTTTTCTTCTAAAAATAAAGTCCCCCGTACATGCTGACACTGACTCAATGATTCACTTAGGTTGATGAACCCAAGTGAACTAAAAGATTAGCATTCACTGCTGTGAGTATGACATGGAACCACTGCTGACCATGTATTCAAATCCAAATTCAACCTTCTGATTGTGTCTCTAAATCAACATACTAAGACTACCTTGAATTAATTAGAACCATATTTGATATGAACCATGTCTGTGTAAAAGATCAACAATTCTTGTTAATTTATGATTTTTGACAACACAAGAGTACTTATTACGCATTAGAAAGTGCTCAACACCAGCATTATAACAGGAAGTGGTTACTGTGATGATAACACACATATGCTAAGTGACTATATTCAGAACCGCCCACTACATACAATTGACAAACACAGTATGCAATACGTACTACATGTTGCTTTTTACAGTAGTATGCAGTATTAAACTGTTCAATCGATTTATTTTTTAGTATAGACCAGTTTTGGCACGAAGCAGGTGAGGTGACTCAGGTGGTCCGATGCACTTTTTCCACATCAGTAGGGCATCCCGGTATTTTTTGACATACTGCAGATTTTGCTTTTGTTTCAAATACAGCCAATCTGCCCCAAGAGGCCAGGAAGTGAAATACGGGGTCAGGTCAAAAAATGGCCAGCTTACCTGTTTTGCAGGGTCGTAGGGCATCATCTCCTCAGGTGGAGGGATGGCTATTACAAGGCTGGGCGGCTTCTTGCTCTTCAGACGGCTATCTGATTGACCTCTGTTTGGAGGAGGCTCTTCCCCCTGCTGTGATGCCATCCTAGCAGAGTGCTGGGGAAGAGAAAATCATAATGGATGTAATTTAAAACCTAATTGAAAGTTTTATGTCAGGCAAGATAGATTTATGCAATTATCAACACTTACAGTGTACAGTGCTGCTGTAGAAAGAAAATATTTAAATAGATTTTACATGCAGTTTCAAATTCTAGCTACTTTTCAGCATTTTCACTAATTATCACAACACCACGTGTGCTCTGTCACTCAGCAATAAAGATGTTCTGACTATAACAGGTTTCTCTTTCACTACTAAGCCAGGTTTTGTTTAGATTTATGTCTGAAATTGACATTAACTCTCTCTCCAGTACTGTTGTATAACCGGCCTCGACCCCTTTTTATGACAACACAATCTGTGATTAATGTCTAAAATTATGACAATAATAGTGGACTATTTTAAATACTTATGCAAAGAAATATGAACTCCCTTGCAGACTACATTTACTGGTAGTGACTGTTGATGTTGCATAACTAATGCTGTGTCTATATGGCAATTGGATCACCAGGGCAGGGTGAAGATTTTGAAGCTCAATCCCCATCAAACAAGTAAAATTACAAAACAAAAAAGAAAGAAAAAGAAAAAAGTAGAAAATGCTCAACCTTCAATGTTTTTCTTGTGGGAAATGGGTGTATGGGTGCATTACAGAAGGGTCCACCCCTTTCCCGTATAGTCCCTACAATAACTCAGTAAGGAAACTATTACAGCCTATACAAACAAACAGTCTCTTAAGTAGCAGCTGGCTCTCTTCCAGTTCAGTCTGCTGAAAAAAACATTGCCAACTTCCCTTTCTGTTTAATTACCTTCATAGGCAATTTCTTAAGTGATCCTTAAAAGGCTCTGTTTTCATTTCCAGCCAATGAGAAATGGTGTTATATTAAGGACAGCAACCTTGTCTTGTGACACAGTACCTATGTCATTGATTAGAAAGTAAATGTAATTAAACAGGAAGATGTAGGAGGAAAGGAAAGGGTTGTGTCTTCCTGTGTACAGTGTTTGACTGTCATTATGTGGCTAAAAATAGAAATAAACAAATGTACACAAATCTTTGAACAATTTTAAACTTCTGTCACTACCAACAGTCCTCTAATAATGAAGGGCAAGCAAGATTAAGTTTAAATCATTTAAATTATTTGCATATAATACTAATAATGAATAAAATAGAACTAATTCATTATATTGAATACATTTATTTAATTTGAAGGTGCCATGTATAATGGGAGTGATACATGGCAGACACTTGGAGTTATCATGAGTGGCTAATGCACTTTAATTAAATACCCGACAAATCAGCGTACTCATCACACTGATGCAAAAATGATATAATTATAATGCCAAAAAGTAACCATCTGCTCTGCTAAGCCCACTCAGAGACTTAATTTAATTTTAAAATAAATTCAAGGGAACTGGTTAGCCAACTAAATAAATCAGAAATCCATTCTGTAGCACCTAATGTACGAACTTGGACCACTAATGAAAAAGCAACTGATACGCCAGTTGTTAAACTGTGACATCCGATGACATCAGACGACAGCGATCAATAGTGCTCTCAAACCATCATGCATCCTGGTCAATAATCCATATCCTTTTTCTCAGCTTGAATTGAGAAACAGCGTTGCACTCCTTTTTATTGATTGCATATAACTATGGTGATTTGATCGTTGAAGTTTGTTCTACATTAATCATAAATCGCACTGAATGAGATCATCAGTTTATGTCTGAAACACATTTTATAGCGAACTATTTAAAGTACCAGTACATCATTACACTGTGTCTTACAGTCAGTGTTTACAAACAACACATCATATTCTCTGAGCCACATCACGTGGGCATGTGCCACACAAATCACACAAATCACAGCTTGTCAGTTGAGTTGATATATTAAGACTCATTCATTTCCATCTCTTGTCTGCTCAAGGACAAAACAATACTGTCAAACTTACTTATCTCTGTCTTCCAGCCTTTACCAATCACAGTCAACAGCGGAACAACCAGCCAGTCTATTCCTGGAGCTCAGAATGCCTCGTAGCATTACACTGAATATTTCCAGAGAAAAGAAAGGCATTGCAGACATAGACCTATACTGTCACAAGCCTTGGCCAAAACATCCATTATGTCATTATGGTTTTGAAAGCCTTGAAGTTGTCCTGGAGTTGTGGTTTACAAAATCAATGCGAGACCCTGGGTGTCTGCGGCAGGAATGGCAGCAACAGGGAAATCTGACACCAGCTCAGTCAATAGCCTAGTTTCCACTACAGAGCGACGCCACAGTGAAACAAGGCTTTACTGTACATATTGTCTGTGCCCCTCCCCCCCAAAATCAGCATTTCTAAAAAACCCTTTAAGCTAAAAGGGGTGTACATTTCAATTCTGCCAACAGTGTTTTCAATTATGTGTGATAAATATTTCAAGCTTGGGCAGAAAGCCTAATTCAGTCCTCTTGAGACAGAGAGGAGGCTACTGGCAATCTAGCTTGTGGTTTTGTGGAGTCGTAGGTAGGGGCTGGAACCCATCTACTTAGATAATGAAATAGCTAGGAATTTGGCTAATGGACAGAGTGCTCAAGTGGTGGAGGGACTGCTGTTGACCGTAGTTTATCAATGTAGACAGGCAGCTGTTAGGATCCACATAGGAAAACAAATGGTGAAACAAACTGTATTCTCCAGAGGGAAGGTAACATACAGAGCTAGAAACCTACAGAGTATAGGGAGAGAGAAAAGATTGTATGATATTTTACCACAAGCCATCTTGAAGTTACACATAATACCATAATATCATGATGGCAACCTACAAGTTATTTGTTTCCAAGAAAATAAGAACAACAAGGAGCATGATGTATTTTTTAATCTGGCCCCCAATGCACTTCTTATTTTTTATCTTATTTAATTTTGTTGTAGTCTTTAATTAAAATCTTCGAGCAAAGTTGGAAAATCCAAGCGTAAACAAATTAGTTTTTTATTTCACATTTAACAAGCAGTGCCTAATTCTCAGCATAAATAGTTTGATTGCACTCTGATTTACTGTAGCACACTTAACACCACAAGGTCTCTTCCTAAGTCTATAAAGAAAAAAAATGACCTGGAGCACCCACAGTTTTCAGAGAAGTTACTATTATAGAGACAATTATTTATTTTTATTTCATTGAGTTTAATATACCCTCACTATCTTATGTGCAAAGAGCTGGTATTCTGTTGGAATACAATGTCAAGAGGCATAGCTCTATTAACATGCAGGTAAAAGGGAGAAGAGACGGAAAGACAAGTTGCCCAGACTATTATATACATATGGCTGAAATGTATAACTGAAAAACAAACAAACCTTTTCTCTCAAATGTACAAGCAGCCCCCCTAAGAGAGATCAACCTCGCCTTCATGAAATTGAGTTTGAGATCCCTGATACGTGGAGATGAAAGCAAGGTATGGCGCCACTCTACGTAAGATCAATTTATACTAATCTGATTGTCAGATTTGCTCAATGACCACAGCAATGTTGACATAAGAGACCAAATTATTAAAAGGCTCCACAACACAGGCAGAAAAAATAGATAACCAGCAGGCCTGTTTGAACAGACAGTTGATACCATCAACAAGAATATCTTAAGAATGAGTTCAGTTATTTTTATTGTATCCATGATTCTCCCCACCTGTGTGTGGGAATGGTAGTATGCCAACAAGAAAGGGCATGTTTTCTAAACAAACATGAATCATGTCTTTCTAATCATTAACCATCCGTGCACGCTCTTATGTACTAACCACATATGGCTAATGTGAAATTTTATGTTTTAATGGTGGAGTTTTGTTTCTATAACCATCCCAAGAAATAAAAGAGTCAAATCAAGGGGGAAACCTTGGGAAAGACAATTCAATGACAGATTCTGTTACTCAGATGTGGAAGTGACAACCGGTCATCTCACTCACTGTGCGGTCACATATCCCGATGAGTCACGTGTCAGAGCAAGATGTCCACACTGACATCATCCATAGCTCATGTCATCACATGACATGTGACAAGAACCATTTCCATCAAATGTCCCTGAATGTCTGCACCTCTTTGGAGTCTATTTATTCACTGCTGCATCTGAACAGTTCCTCACTTGACCATTAATCAGTGGGACTATATATTGTGTGTGTGTGTGTGTGTGTGTGTGTGTGTGTGTGTGTGTGTGTGTGTGTGTGTGTGTGTGAGCGAGCCACCTCCACCCTGTTGTGTTTGGTGATATCACGTGTTCCTCTGAGAGTGTGTCACCATGGTTCAGTCTCTTCCCTCAGGGAGAGGACTGCCCTGAGAATGTGTCAGTGTGTTTGTGTGCAATCCCATTCGCCTGATGCTCAAAGCAGCGTTATCCCCTGTAAACTTGGAGACAGGACAGGCTCATTCACTCAGTGCCGTATAGTTCAGGGTTCATGTAACTGGTAGTAAAAGCAGTCTTATCTTACAAACCCATACATAACCCACATGTAGGGGTGTGGGGAAGAGATCGTGTTTCATTTTCTGCCACACTCACTCTACACAGCAGTTGACTGGCCCCACTTGGACCAAGCACACTTGCTGTGACTTCTGTTAAATGTAGCCAGCACTTGACAAACATGCAAAACAAGGGTGCTTTCCAGGCATGGCTACATAGGTTTATTAACATTAGCTCAAAGGTTATGTGAGATTTAAAACATTAATATAGCAGCAAACAATTGTGGAAAGACTATCCAAGACAGCTTTGGTGAGTTTTATTTTGTTTCAGTCCAGTCTGAAGTGTGTTTTACAATTATCAGCTAGTTATCAAATGAGTCTCGTCGGCCATAGTGCCCATTGTTTTACTCTGAGATGCTGGTGTTCTAGTGCGACATCAAGTGGTAAGTGAATTTTGTATAAAAAACCTTTAGGTGCAGATGTATTGTTCGACAATTAACAAAATGTGAAAGTCATGATAGTGTAAAACAACATGCTATAAAACAGAAACACATACAAACATGAAGAAATGGAGACATCAACTATGCCTACCTCAGAAACAGCCAAACTCTTTCACTCATGTATTTTTGGAATTCTTCTTACATGCCAAGGGAATTATTGAGAAACTACACTATGCGCCTCCACAGCAATGAAAAGCTTGTTGTTGCTGCTTACTGTGTGGAGAAAAGAGTGAGTCTCACTGAACTTTACTGTTGTGAGTGCCAAGCTCAGTCTCTTTTCTACATTTCTATTTTAAGCATCTATGTGATTCGCCATAGCAACTTGTAATGGTCAAGAAAGCTTTTAAACCAGTTTTGTAAATAAGAGCACAAAGATGTGGTTTTTCCCCATAACTACAGGAAATCTGAGTTGAGTTGAGAGGTGTGGAAATGGTGGATTTTGTCTTATTTCTTATAGGCAAGCTACTGAGTTTACAGAGGACTGTCTATTCAGTAAGCAGACTGTAACGAATATTCGTAGTCAATACTCACACCCACTGAGCAAGGGTTTAATCTCATTTCCCCAAACTGTATCCCACTCAAGCCTTCAGCCTCCCTATTTATTGGTTGGTAAATCTTCTGAATGCAATGGCTGAGTCAAACCTTCTCCTAAAGGGACTTTACATGACTAAAAGACAAAATAATTACAAATATGTTTGGCCACTTCTTATTTCTGCTGTATTTGTAGTTCAATGATAATAATCATGAAACTATATAAATGTAATAATAACCTTGAGTCAGGTAGTGATCATCTAACATGTCACATGGTTGTGTTTCTGATGTTGAAAAGGACCTCAGCTTTAGAACAATATTGTGCAAGCACAACATCCTCCTTTTGTCACAGGGACTTGACTTTGCTGACTCACTCTTCAACCACAGTCATAATGAACATTTACCTCAACATAACCGTGTCCTATACACTGATACAATTCAGCACTCAATGAGTCCTTTTGAGAGTAGCATTATCTTTCATCTTAATGTGTATGCCCAAAGCGGAAATAGGTGTTGTGACCAGTGCCGTTATTGGACTTTTCTGAAACTCTTGGGAGGCTAAATGAGAAACTGACCTTCAGACAACTGCTTCATTAGTTCTTCTTCTTAACATCCACAAGCTTTACTTGCATCTTCCCTTGCAGATCCTGATAAAGACATACACAAAACATGTGTCATTGTTAGTTTATCCACTATTTAAACATGAATGAACACCAGATGAGGACATTTATGCATGGACACAGCGATCCTAAAGAAGAAAACTTTACTCAGTTACTCAGAGGCTTACAGAACAAATGTGATTATAAAACTATGAACCATCAGTGCAACGAGAAGCGAGGGAGGAATAATAGCAGGAATTGTAATTTGTTTCATAATTAAAACTGAGGACAGCATTGACAGTTGAAGAGTTCGAGTGATGATGTTCAGACAATGTTCACATTCTCTCACAGACTCTACGTCTCACACGGTCAGTAAGTGTGGGGACAACTACGTCAAGTGCAAATTTGTATGTGGGAGACTTGCCCACACCAACAGTGTGAGCTACAATAGTAACATGGTCAGATATTAGGCATTTACACTCAGTCAAAAAGAATGCTAAAGAAAACCAATCTCAAACAATTGCACATTTCTTAAAAAGAGAAAATAGAAAAGGTATGTGTTACAGGTTTTTTAGAAACAATGGTGACTGTCTGTTCCTAATGTCAGCACTAGCCTAGTGGTCACTCAGTCGTAGGGCTGGGCGATAAATCGATTTTATCGATTAATTCGATTTCGTAGTTAAACACGATTTATTTTTAGTAAAAATCGGTTTTCTCTTGAACTTCCACAACACCGGCGCTCCCTTTGGACTTCTGTAGGTCAGAGTGCGCTGACCCCTCCCCCTGCCTCTCCACAGATAAACACAACACGGCAGCAAGCCAGGATGAGCTCGTCGCCAAAAAAGGCACAGTGTCGGTTGTGTGGAACTGGTTTGGTTTTGTGGCGTCCGACAGCGAACAAACCACGACCCACTGCAAAGTTTGTTTGAAAGCTATTGCAACCAAAGGTAGCAGTACGACCAATTTATTCCAGCACCTCAAGCAGAGGCATGCAGCCGAGTGGGAGAAATGTTGCTCTCTGCGAGATATACAGGACCACAGCCCACAAACACCCGCTAAAAACACAATCCACAATCACAATTTCAAACCATCTACTATGGATTCTGCCTTTCAACTTTGGTCTGATAGTGGCACATGATCTATTAAGGATCTCTATGATAGTGGGACCTACATGTCTTTCACTGATCTGTCTGCTACATTTAAGCTACCATCATCGCACCTTTTCCGCTTATTCCAAGTTAGGCATTTTGTTCAGAAATATTATCCTGATTTTCCTAATCTCCCCCCACAGACATTATTAGACACTCTTCTCATGATAAACCCCAATCAGAAAGGGAATATTTCACATATCAGCAGTGCCATGGACTGCATCGTTTCAGTCTTCCCCCAGCAGACGAGGGAGTCACGGGAACAGGATCTGGGGCTTAATATAGAGGATGACCAGTGGGACAATATTCTTGAGTTAGTCCATAACTCCTCCATTTGTGGCCGACATGGGCTGATTCAATGTAAATTCATACACAGGCTTTATTACACCAATCATAAATTGTCTAAAATTTACCCCAGTGTTGTTGACGCTTGTAACAGGTGCCACCAGTCCCCTGCCGACCTCATGCATATGTTTTGGTCATGCCCAAAGCTGACAGATTTTTGGGCTAAAATATTTGATACTCTTCAAATGGCCTTTGATTTTGTGGCAGATCCACATCCCCTTTTTGGTATCCCATCTAACAATACCATCAGCTAAAGCATGACATTCCATGGCCTTCTGCACCCTACTGGCCAGGCGATTGGAAAAACATTGGAATTATGAGCATTGTTTTTATGTCATTCTGCTGTCCCATTGTGGATGTTTTGTATTATTATTGATGCTCAATAAAAAAAAAAATATATATATATAAAAGAAACCTTGGTGACAATTTTATTGGACTGCCTCCTGATTCATCTGATTAGACATCTGTAGAAAACAGCACATCTTAGTTCAGTAATTGCTAGCACGATCTAACATCTAAGGTATTGAGCAAACAGACATTTTTCCCCATTTGTATATATTTATTGATAACATAATTTTTTTTTATTGTGCTATGGAGATGTTGCTTTGTCGAGACATCTTGTCTGCACCAATCATTGGACAGGCTGCCATAAAATTTGGCATGGATTTACATCATCTTCAGAAAATGATCTAAGGCCACTTTGGTTGTCACATCAGGTCAAACTTTCTCTTATGTTCGACACTTGAGAGGATGAATTATAATATCTTCTTGACTCACTGATACTTATCTTGACACCATCACCGGTCCAAATTTTCCACTTCCTAGGTTTTGTTTTTATTTTGTAGTTTCCCTTCTAACGTCAGCTGTTTACAATGTGATCGTAGTATAGTTATTTTAGCAATAAACCTTGTGATTCTCTTTGTTGTTGTCTGCCATAGACACTGAATATAAGATCTCATTCACAGCCACCATGGGTGATCGAGATGTTACGGTTTTACTTTGGGGAACTGGGTTCTCTGTAATCATGAAATAATGATCATTTTAGCCATAATTGTGCAGCACTATTCCTAATATTTTCAATAATCACATAACTTTCTCAATTCAATCATATGTGTTCATTAATCATATCTTTATTTCAGGGTATAAAGTTAAATTATTTGTATATTACTTTAGCCAACAAGCTACAACATAAAGTGGTAAACTTATTTTAACTAGCAATGTATGTACAACTGAATAGTCCTCTATGTGAGCAATGCATGACTGCTGCAGTAAACAATCAGCTAGTGTATACGGGCTATGCAGTTTGACCCCTATCTCTCATTTCGGGAAAGTCCCAAACTTGATTTCAAATATTAATTCAGACAGATTCAATCCATAGTGATTGCAGGATTCAGAAAGTACTCGCTGCTTATGAAAATTCATGTTCTTTCCCCATTTCCACGTTTGACAACCTGAGTTTCCCTCATGAAGCCTATCAGGCTCAACAAACTGAGCTGTGCCATGCTGTAAATGGAAGAACAGAAAGGAATGAGTGTGAAAGAGCTCTACAGTAAATGGGCCAGCAGCCAGCTGGCACAACGGCTTGACAGTAAAGAGGAGTGCCCTGCTTTAATAAGACCAACAAATCCTTTGATGACAGCCATGAAATGTCATTCTCCTGAAAAACTTGTACGTTTTTAAAAAGGTGGACAACATGTTTTGGTTTGTCTGCACTGGCTATGTGTGTGTGTGTGCAGGGTACAAACTGATCATAACTGAGCAGACAGTCATGGTCAGGCGTAGGAGAGTGTGTGAGTTTCAGTGGTGTTTGCTTGGTTGTGTGCCTCTAAACAGTCAGAGCAACAATCGAAACCGCCCCCTCCTTCTTCACTTCCAACCACAACACCTCTTGATGATGACTCTCTAAACAAAACCATGGGTCTTTACATATCCCATTACCTATCTTCAGCTGATAATAGCACTTTGGTGCCTCAAACAAATCAATAGTTCCATTTCAAAGCTATTAGAAGACAATAATTCAAGTTCACTATTGAGGCATCTTGGTTGAAAAAAGACCTTGGCTTCAATCTAACCATTCCAGGGACATTTGAAAACATTGCAACATTTTCCGACGGCCTGCGTGCCCAAACTTGTGTAACAGCGAGCTACTATGCAATACCTCAGCTTTGTTCCCAGTCCAAGAGCTCCTCACAAGATGTGACCTAAATAACTAATGTTTATACGGTGTGTGCACACATAATTCAAGGTAAAGCTACTATGTCATGTTTTTCTCTGTCATTGGTGCAACAAGTGTGTGTATACATTGTGTGCATATATGTGTCTATGCTGTAATGTGACACTACCCAAAAGAGCTCATTTCTGAGCATCTTGTGGGGGCCAGACTGGCTGTTAAAAGTGAGAAAGACAAAGTCGCTCACTGCCACGAATTCACAGAACGTGAGTGAAGACATTTTGTCCCTTCCTAATTCTTGCAAGAAATGTAGAAGAAAATGAGCTGTTTCTGTGCAACAATAAATGTACAGTCAATAGTCTATACAACTTACTCTCTACACAGTTCAGAGCTTCATAGCAAAGTCAGAGTATCCACAGAAGTCCTTTTAAGGTTTACGAGTCTTTGGGTTTCAAAGCACTTCCTGTGTCCAAATATTTTAAGATAATGTGTCACACACTTTGAACGAAGGTTGGCATGGCAGTGCAGGGAAAAAAATTCCAACAGCCTGGCGAGCAGCTTGATACCCCTGTTACAGAAGTGGGTTGTTGGCATTATAAAAGGAAAAACCCCCAATGTTTAATGGGTGTGGTATGGTGCTGCAGCTGAGAACAGATAAGATCATGGAAGGAAAGCCCCCTTGAGAGAAGTGATGATAGATTTGATTGTGACACTTCACATTGAATACGTGTGGACAAGCCTCGGGTTTTCCAAAACTCCAAATTATAAAGAACAGTGAGGTTAGCTATATATTAATGAGGCACAATATTCACGTTAGATAAAAGGGACTGCGTCACAGTGACGTACATTTTTTTACCCTTCTATTTCTCAGAACTTGCTCGCTGATTCTGATGAAGTGCGTGACCTTTTAGCTGAACTCATGTTTCCTTGTTGTCACAGAATGTAAACTTTTTGATTATTGCTGGGTCAGTTTTCCCCGACACAGACCGTTAACTCAGTGACAGGTGCAAACGAACATACCAGTTCAACCATGCAGATGCAAGCAGATGCCACAGTCGCATATTTGCTTGTTGTACAGCATACACCCTACGTTCATACAATATGTTGCCTCTTTTTCTGGTTTGAGTACAAAGCTGTATGAAGTGTGATTTGCTAAATATACTGTAATAGCACTTTACTGTTCTCTGCTTTCTCTAATATGTGTAGACCACCCTTTACTGTTATTTTTAACTGGATACTACATGTAGGATGAGGTCATAAAGTTGTGAATGAATTATTGATGATGACACTGGAGTGAGGGTAACATGACGACTACTGCTGCTTCAAGCTAAATATTTAGTCAGAAATGTTGCTGTTAGTTTAATTATCATTTATCTGTTGTAATATTACAATAGTGTGTAATATACAGTACAGTGCAAGTATGACAAAGCTTCTGAAATACTGTATGTTATAAATGAACTAATGAGGTATAAAATGGTCACTATAAACAACTTTTGACTTACGTTATAATTGTTCTCTCGAAGCAATTATCTCCCAAAGAAACTGATCTGTAATACTGCCTTTGTATACCTTTAAGACATGGCTTGTATTCAAAGGCAATTTGTGACTTACACCTTCACTCTTCCTCATCCGTGAGTGTGTCTGGAGTAACTGGAATAAAAGTCTGCCCCTTCACTTACTGCTCTAAAACAACACAATAATCAGTGGTGCTTTTGAATACTAGTAAATGTAATGCTGTGATAATTATTGCAATGATAATTTTGTCCACACCGCCCACCTCTGTGAGTAGGCCTACTTTGAGCATGATTTCAGTATTAATCATATGTTTATGAAGCAAGTATATACACGTCAGTGGTGGTTGAATACGTAAAAAACACACTAACTTACATTTCCACTGAAAAATGTATCATGTATTGGCACCTGAATGCACCACACACTACAACCCAGTTAGGTCATTATACAGTTTAGAAATTAACTCTTAAGTCCATAAATGTAATAAAGTTTACTAAAACTGGTACTACCTCTTTTTTAAGCCACTACATATTTTTATGCTTCAGAGGAAAGAGAAATATCTGATAAGGTTTTATCTTCAACAGACCCAAAACTGCTAGTAAACAAATTCTGGTACAGATACAGTAACTCTCTCCAGGAGGTAGCTGTAAGGACACAGCAGTTATTACTATTACATTGAGTGTCTGCAGCCACCTTTAAGCAGCAAGTCTCCACCAACAATATGATTTTATTATTAACGTTAGCTAACTTACACCAGTAGTCGGTTTCAGTTAATTCCTGGTTAAAAGCCCAGTGAAACACCGAGTGTGAATCAGACTGTATGGTTTGAAAAACACATGGGAGGGGTGTAACAACACATGGATTTGTCGGCACATGGTGACTATAATTAACTGTAAGGAGGTAAGAGAAAGACATTGGAGATGAATAATGGTATTTGTCCCGGCGGGCAGAGCAACAAAGGGCTTGCCGAGGCATGCGTTCAGCGGCTCGCTGGATGAAGACGACCGTTGTAAGCTAACGTTAACGTTGTAACTGTCACTGACTGTGTGTTATTGTTATCCTTTTTTAAAAATAAAACAGCTTTCCACCACTAACATCGACACACTGACATTAACACTAAGAGTACACCAGCTAATACACGGTGGTTTTAAGATATTTTAAGTATGTTATGTTATGAAGTCCATAATGGCCGTTGACCCAAACATTTTAAAGTTAACTAACGTTAACTTTTAACGGCTTTAACGGTCGTAAAACAAACGTCTTATTCCACTCACCTCCAAGAAGAAATGACCGGGTTTTAATTCATTAGCAGACGGTATATGTGTCCGAAATGCTACGATACTGTACACTAACTGTCCACCAGTGTGTCACTACTTCCCTCTTTCTCTCTTCCAACATCCTTCACGGCAGTTCCACGGAGGAGTGCGGGGCGGAGTTACGACGAGCTGGGCCCGGTCCAACCCCTCCAACTGCGGGCCGCGTGTGGAGCCGGTAGTCCTCCTACTGTACGTTAGTGATCGTTAGTTATCGTTAGTGATGAACGCTTTCAGTGTAGTTCGTACAGTTCATACATTACTGATTTAAAACAAGTTAATTTAATAGGTAATGCGCAGCTTATACTCGTTTTACAGCAGTCCTCCTTGTATGGACAGCAGGGTGTCTGCCCCTTATATATATATATATATATACAGTCAATGGTCTGCACCTGTCTCATGATGTATGGTAGCAAAGAAAGACCGTGATCAATTTAATTTGATTAGCAAAAAACAGATTGTGACATTTAAGTACAAGTTTTAGATCCAAAAGTGACCAACAATTGCTGATCTTTAATATATGTTTTATTTCTTGGATAATGTTCTGTCTGTATTTGTAAATACACACATAATCAAGTATTTTAAGTTGTAAAACCTCTTGGCAAAACTTAATTTAATTAATTTAAATGTAATATATTTTTTTAAATAATTGATTTGTTTCAGAAAATATTGCTGTTGCTGTAGCTTCTTTTGAGTATCAACATACATTTAGTTCATACCAACTCAGTAGTACACTTACACAAAGTTGGACAGATTAAACAGAATCTTTTTTAAAATAATGTTCAAAGCAGATATGGCAAAGTCCAAGATATCCTGACCTTAGTATGGGTCAAGCCCAAAAAATGCTGAATCAGAGTTCCCACAAGGCATTCCTCTTTAATATAAACTTCGCTTCCTGGCAAATGTCCACATCTTTCAAACTCCAGACACTTGGCTGGTAACAGACTTTCTAAAGCCCAGTGCAACATAACATCAGGGTTATTCTCTGTGCTCTGTGCTTTTAGAAAGCTCCTCTAGAGCCACAGGAGATTGCCTTAAGTATTAAATAAGAATAGTAAATTGATCTGTGATCTATGTAATATAAGTGTCCATTTTTAATCCATTTGCTCTATTCTTTGACTGTACACTTGTGCAGTGGGATCCAAGGGTCATCTTAGGTTGAAAAGTGATAAACATAGTTTTCCAGAATACTATTTGCTGTTGCTGTATCTTTACTTATGAGTATATAAAGTTCCTCCAGTACATTTCGCATTAAAGTGGTAATGCTTGTTACTTGTTTAGAAAGTGGGCTTGAAAACTAGTTCAAGCTGGTAAACTTCAGGATCAAGACAGATAATCACAATACACACTGATTATTTATTTTTATTAATATAACTTACAGGTCAAATTATTTTTTATATTATTTTATTTTTATTATTTACCAACCATTAAAATCCTTATTATTCAATAAAACATGTCAACAAATTAACCAACAAATATGCTCAACAAACTGCTTAGTCATCACATATTGATAATTGTGCCATTACAGCAGAAATTAAATGATTCAAAGTTGTACAAATACATACAGTAAAATGTTATGAGCATTGTGAGACAACATTCTCCATTAGTTAGATTAAGAAAAGACAACTTCTACAGGCACATGATTATCCAACAAATCATCTTTACAGCTCACAGTGAGGCTTCGGATTAAAGCTCTCCTTTTCATTACAGTCACCAAATATCTTTATTTGAGTAGCTCTGTTGTCACTTTTATTCACCAGCCTCAGTACCTACCAGACTGTTGTTGGATGTGTCTATGCCATGAGAAAATACTACTGCAGGTAGAAATGACATAAACTGAAAGCATAAATCCACCAATTCTATGAAATATTATTAATTTCTAATTTAATCAATTCAAGTCAATAAGTGAATATGTGACACTGACATTTATCTACGAAACTCATATTTGAATCTGAATAATTCTCACAGCAGGATTTGAACTGTAGTTTGAATGTAGTAAATTCATGATTAAAAACTAAAAAAAGAATCCATCCAGATGTTGTCCAGAATTTAGACCCATCTTTATCATATATATATATATATATATATATAAAAAAAAAAATAAATAATATAATATAATAAACTCAACCCCACACAGCAGGGAGGGAGGGCACTAATTCACATATGCAGCACACATGTGGACACACATAATAGTGTAACCATTCATTCTAATGATCAAACAAACCTTAACAGAGAACCACCATACATGATGAAAAAAAGGGGAAAAAAAAAGAGTGAGCCAATTTTCTCAGAAAATAAAGAATCTGGAACAAATCACCTGAAATCACCAAATGATTGCCTCACAAACAGTGTCTCTCTGCTCTCTGTTGAGCTCAGCTTCTATCAGTGTACAGTTAAGTATGTAACCTACACACTATTAGTATCTGTGACGTGGATCGTTCAAATAAAGCAAGATATGTGACAGGTGGTGGGACGGAGATAGAGCAACTAGAAGAGTTCAGGTGTTTTTCTGTCCTATAACAACATTTTAGTTAGATCATCATTGTGACTGGCATGAATTTAAGGAGGGGACCAGCCACAGCCACAAACAGTGGTTGGTCATTTTGAGTGAAGTATTAAGTTAAGGCTGTGAGGAATAGTTTCATCACTTAAGGCGTAATAATGACACATCTTCCTGCTCTAAAGCACAGCTAAACTTAATGTATATGCAAATGCTTTATCTACTTATAATTTCACAGTGAAATATTTGTATATCTTCACTTGATGTGTCTGTTGGACCTCTGCTCTAATTTGCTAAGTTGCTTATGTAATGTAAACTACACAACTATGAAGCGTGGGGAGGGGGGTGTCACAGAAAACACACTGTGCAATACTTTCTTAAAGCCAACAGCAATTGCTAAAAGGTCATAGATGAATGAATGCCTCTTAACAATTATAACAAACAGCACAGTATCTTTTAACAACACGTTGGTCCTTGTAGTCAGGGGAAACAACCAAAACAGATTTAGCTGTTGTCTGTTCCCAACATAAAACACTAACATTCATAATAACATTCTCTTCTCGTTAGAAAAAATGGCAATTTTCATTTTGACTGGCTCACACAGAGGAGTCATCAGGCACTCAGCAGAAAGTGAAATACTAATCAGCTTTACAATCGAATTTCTCTACAGAAAACAAACTAAAACTGAAAGTACTTGATTACTCCATTATTCTTAAAGCTACTTTTGGGGCTCAAAATAATGACTTTATTAGAGATTTCTAGATATAATCTGCATTCCTCGTTTCGTTTCCATTCCCCTCATTAATAAGATTCTTCGGATTGTTTTAGGTCGTCCAACCCCTGTTCGCAGCCAACTCTGATTTCCACATCACCTGAGAGCATAGGCTTTAAAGAGGCTGATTGTGGTGTTCAACTTACCACATATTGAGAGACTAAAGTAGGGAAGGCTAAATTCCTTCAGACTGGTAAATACCAGCTGATGGGGTATGAAGACCGTCATGGGGTTGATATAATACTGTGACATTTGTGCCTGTATGCACACAGATGAAGGGTCACAGCCAGGACTCAATGTGCAAGGTGTAGCTCACAGTTTGGACCGCAAGGGCTTCAGGTACTTGTGGAAGGATTCATGGACCTGGGGATGAAAAAAAGAGCATTTGTTACACAGAAATAATGAGCAAGACCAGGGGAAAAAATACATGCTTATGCAATCACACACAGTCTCCTACACATCTGTGTAAGATAGTATTTGCAGCTGCATATTTTGGTCTGTTTTGAGCAGTCTCTGATCCCAAATGATTGTGGTTGGCTATACAGTGCTCAATAGTGGAAGCTTAGACGAATCAAAAAAGCTGTTTATGACACTTCATCTTTCATTTCTGCAAGTGACTGATCAACTTAATGTGACCCTATCTGGACTGTCTCAGTCTATAAAAGTGTCTCACTTTTACAAAAAATGTATATCATTTAAGTCCTACAAAATGAAAATTATTTTCTCTGTTAGCCAGTTTTCATGTCACTACATCCATCCATCTAAATGTGACTGTTTTTTTTTTATTATGTACCAAAAGAGTAATGGTGTCATAATTCCTACAGATACAACCTTCACTGTTTAAATCTACTGCCTCTGTCACAGTCAAAGTGCTTCTGTCACCAATAGATATAACAAACAGATTGAGAAACTAAGAAGATTTGTCACACACTTCAACAGAACGTGTCATTTGTTATTTTTGACTAGTCACCAAGCTTCAAAAGGGTGGATCTTATCTCACAGGGTGCAGATGCTCAGGAAGGAGAGTAGTGATATGAATGCATGAGAGCAGTGTGCTGCAGATCAACAGAAACAGTAACATTTCATTGAGACTCTCGCTGGGGTTCAGTAAGCACCCTGCATCCTTTTCTTGTTGCTGGTGTTTAGTGTATTTCTTGGCCTGTTGGTAGCTTGTACAACCATAAGGTTTAGCCATAATTAAATCCTTTTGACCTTACAACAAAACACTATATCGGTGCCATGACACTACCATTATTTCACCCTTGTCACCCTGACTGACCTCTGTGGCGTTTAGGGGTGAGCGGCGAGCCCACTCGAACATGTGATCATAGACGTTCCCATCATATCGTCCCAGGACTGAATTCAGCTTCTTGTCATGGAGGTCAAAGGAATCTACCAGTGCCACAGCGTTGGGCCTCAGCTGAGCCAGCAGCTCCTTGATACGAATAGAAATCTGTAGCACCTGGGGCACATTCAGCAGTCCAGCCTGAAATAAAAACAGATAAAGATGTAGATGAAGACATGCTGCTGGATTTCACTCAATTGCCTGGACAGTGAGGAAGACAGTAAAGATAGAAGGTTGTTCTGACTCACCAACATCTTTAATTTAAAGCAAAAAAAAAAAAAAATCTAATTTGCTTTATTTAAACAGCAGAAAAGACTAACAAGGCATACACATCCAACACACAAAGACTCCATTTTGATAGCGCCGAGACAAAGAGGCAATTGAGGCTGTTGTTCTTTCATATGGAAGCAGACAGTGAAACTGACAGACCAACACTACGGGGAGTAAGCAAATAACTGGAGCACAATGTGTCAGTTAACACCGGCAATAAGATTCACCTGCAATAAGGACTATATTGTTTCTATGCGTTATGACTTTCCTGACCTGTAGGAAGTCTCCAGAGTTCTTTGTGATGCCATGCAGGGCGTAGAGCAGAGCCAGGGTTGACATCACTGAGTGTATGGCTGTGTCACCAATCTCGCCCAGTTTGTCAGTAAATAACTTCACTACAACGTAGTGACAGTGGGCCTGGAGAAAAAAACAATCAGGACATGTTTAAAGAAAAAGAAAGAAAAATTTGACTTCAAGTTGCATCAGAATGACATTTCGGGCCTGGAAACTCTAAACTTTCTAGTGATCATAAAATATAATATTAGTAATTAATAATTAGCGAATTTCCCCAGTGTGGGATCAATAAAGTCTATCTTATCTTATGTAGTCAGTAACCAAATCTGTTTTACAATATTAAAGTAACATAACTTGAATACTTTCTGTTAGAGAAAAGAAATATCTGTATTCTATATGACAACAGAACAATATAACCTTGTAAAAGAATATGAAACCAAGATTTCAACATCAAAAATGCATCCTCTGCTCAGTGTATTTAAAAATGAAAAACTTTTCATGAAGCAAATTCAGGCAGCAACTTAGAGAATATTTTCACAGCTGGAAGGCAGAACTAGCACTGTAACTGTAATGTCGTTTCCCTTTTCTGCTTTAAAGACAGGATAATGGGGAATTTTCCTCACAATGAAATGGTTTCACTTGACACCAGAATAGCACTGTCAGACTTGTGTTGTAATGTGTGCTCACTGCACATTTGCATGGTAATACATCGTTATTTATTTTGAGATGTTACATTTTTTTTTATCCCAATTAGGTAACTATGTTGCATGCAATCCATTACTCCCCAAGCCTGAATATAAATTATCTTTAATACTGAGCACATAAAATCGAGGAAATGTCAATAAATGCCACTGCAGAATGTAGGGAGAATGTAGAACACAGTAAGTGAACTTACATCTGAGGCTCTGACCAGGTCAATAGCACTGTTGTTCCAGGCATCTTCTGGGCTCTTCCTGCGCTGCAACTCCTGCTGGATGCTCTTAGCTGCCAGTGCTACTAGACTACAGACACACATTAACCCAAGCTGTCAATATTAATTGAGTTAAGTTAATTAAAAAAATTAAGACACTTTATTCTCTTTAACTTTGGGTTTTAAGTACAACAGAGGCTGATGATGAAATGAGATTGTCTTTTTTTTTACAAATTGACTATCATCAATGAAATCTATATTTCTTTAAAGATATATATTTCAATATTTTGAAGTGAGCCTCTTCAGAAACACAGAAGAAAAGATTGCTAACCAACAATTCTCCATTGCCTTTTATCCCTCTAATGTCTGAACTGGCAGGCCACATTGTGTCTCCCCCCACCAGACAGGCTTAGCCACTGTTCGTGCTCATCACACAGCTGACACTGACTGCCAAATGAATTTAGATGACTAAGGCTGACAGTATGCAGGGATGTGATCAGGGGAGCACATTACGTCAGACAGTGAAAAGGACCAATGCAGAAATATGGTCAAAATGAGAGAACAGCCGGTTTGGGCAGACACTCAAACTGATTGGACTATAAGGGTGATTGATGTTGACACCAGAAGCTCTAGTCAACACCAACACCTGAGATAACAGCAGACAGTGTGTCAAAATGTATCCCTCCTCTTTAAATTTACAATGTAGGCATTTAGCGCATATCCAGTATCCAAACACTGAGAGGCAAATTTCACATACACAAATGGCCCCATTACATGCAACCATGAGCTAAGAGTCGAGGGGTCATAGCAGCGGTACCCTGACTAAGGATAATTTATGTTTCACAGCGTAAATAAAAAATGTGTGCAATGAAAATGTAGAAAATAAAGCTCGTGATCATGGCTTTCAATGGCTAAACCTGAAATGAAAACATAATTGTCATTGTCCAACCAACAAGGTCACTGTCTCCACTACTCCTGTCTCTTACATGGCAGCTCGTAGTTTGTAGACCTCCACCAGGCTAGCCAGGTCGTTTATGTCGACCACGGTTGGCCTTGCAGCGACGGGCTGAGGCTGGACCCTCTGGTGCTCTGCTTCATTCAGGTATGACACAGTGCCGCTCAGCTGCTGGCCTGCCATGGCCCGTTGGTAGCTCTTCACCAGGTATCTGCATAGGCAAAAGTTGAGGAGACACACAGTGCAGTTTTCTTGTGGTATTGTTAAGAAAAACAATCGGCATCTTTTTCTGTTCCAATTCATTTCTTGATTGTATGACAAAATTAACAAACACTAAATATTCAACAGCCATTCTAACCTGTTGTTGTCCTATTTCTTTTTTTTTTTTTTTACTAACACCAAATTAAATGTTTTGTGTAGTCCAGGTTCAGGTACAAGCTCACTGAGTCACTGTACATTTCATAAACTATTTGCACATCCTTGCGAAGCAATATCCCTTTAAAACAAACCATACAACATAACAGGTTGACCTTTACAGTACTGGTGATATAAAACCAAAACAGCTATCATTTAGGGATATACAATGTGACCAGTGTTTGTTTTTGCTGTGGGAGGTGTGTGGGTGTGTCCTCTGCATTTATGGAATGGCAGGGCTGCTGAGTGGGCGCATGTTTATGACTACATGTGTCTATTTTTGTCTGTCTCGATCTTGAAGCAAAGACATTTCTAGTGTGTGTGTTTGTGTCAGAATTGGGTGGAGAACTTGGCTGTGAACATGTCAATTTTCTGTGTGACATGTACCTTGCAGTCTGCAGCATCATGACTGTGTTCTCTCCCTCGTAGGTGCATGTAGGGGTGAAATTGACATAAATGTCTGGCAGGGCGCTGCTGCGAGAGTAGCCGTGGCCACCACATGACATGCGACACACCTCAATGGCAGAGTTGGTTTCCCAAGTAGTAAATGCCTTCAGACCCGCAGACAGGGCATGGAGCTGTAAATTGGAGGGCAAAGAGGGTGATCATCATCCTCAGTCAGTCAACATTAAGCTTAGATCACATTCTACATGTTTATGTCAAGTCAGTACCTCAGGCAGTTCACTGAAGTCGCCCTCGTTGATGTCTCCACTGATGCGTTGGTAGGTTTGACTCATATACTGGCCAACAAAAGTGAAGGCATAGGCCATAGCTAGCAGAGGGAACAGCTTGTACTGCTGCGTCTGGTAGTCGAGGATCTGGGGCTCTGGCTCTCTGTGGGACAGAAACACACGGGCCACACACCCTGTCAACTGGTTGTGCATGCATGACCTTAAGCATATGTTTGTTTGTACTTGCAGCTTGTATGGGTTATGCAACACGTGTATATCTGTTTGCTGAAGTGCCTTTATGCACTCATTCGTACTGACTGACCCTGGCCGGATTTCGGACTGGTGACGAACAGAACTGTATCGGATGGCGATGGTGCAGGATTTGGCGAGGGCTCGAGCTGACTCGCCTACGATCATGGAGCGGATGAACACCATGGTGCCATAGGTCAGCTTGGCACTTGGTGGTTTCACATAGGTTCCATCTGGCTCCACCTAGTGGAGAGACAGAGTCATTCTTATTGGGAAATCTTACACACTGTTAAACCTTAAAGAAACAAGTGAAGCAGGTGTGTGACACTGTAAATTAAATCTAAGGAACTGAAGGTTTAACTGAAGAACCAGCCCCCCCTTTAGATGCAGCAAATCTATAAATGCATTCAATGATCTTTGCACACTGTCATACTGTATCACAAGATAGTCACACAAACTGGAAAAACAACACTTGCTCCACTGCAAACACTTTATAAACAAACATTCAAGGCACTAGGCAGAGGTATAATCTCTTCTTAGTGTTGAAAATTCTTGTTGCAGATGTTTCTTTTCTATAGTCAATATGTATTATGTTTTAATTGTGTTTTCATACTACAGTGTTCGTTTTCTTATAGTATTTTATACTAGTTAATACTACAGTTCAAGTTAAAGTACAGTTCAGTTTAATTGCTGATGCTTCAGAGATTCAAGTCCCACTCTAAATGAAACATATACACTCAGTCCCCTAGGTACACCTAAGTTAAAGTAATGGTGTCTGGAATGAATCCTGCCTTTATTAAAGTTATAATGTTCAGTTTTTGAGATGTTGATTTAACTTAAATGTTATTTTGGAAAATGTAGTTTGTGGTGCTGTTGAATCATACCACATTATACTGACAGGTGTTTATATTATTTTGTCCATCCATTCCTATAAACGAGGCTAAGCTAAACAGAAGGTAGATTATGTCCTGTATTGATAAGCTATTTGGTGATATTTGTAGATCTTTATTTATATTAACCATAGTGTTTTGTATCTAGGACACATAACTTGAGAATACAATGCAACAACTTCCCTATTTGGTAAACAAAACACAGTTGTGCAGGTTGTTGCTTAAAGGACCAGTGTGTAGGATTTAGTGGCTTCTAGCAGTGTAGTAGCAGACTGCATCTCATTCTTTTCACACTTCCTTTCCAAGCGTGGTGTAGGCATGAGGGCAATTACACTGACCCACAAATCCTCTCACAAACACCAAAACTCAGAAAAAAAACAACCATATAATCAACTTAAAAAGTCACGTCCGGGAAACCATCAAATCAATTGGTGTCATATTACCTTGGCGTATTTCATCAGCATGTTCTCCCGTGGGATTCGAACGTTCTCTAGTTTCAGGAAGCCGTTGTCAACTTCACTAAAGCCAAACTTGGGGCCAATATCTCCAACTACAATACCTGAGAGAGAGAGAGAGAGAGAGAGAGAGAGAGAGAGAGAGAGAGAGAGAGAGAGAGAAAAGATCAAGTAAGAAGGAGTGTGAGAAAGAATGATACAGATAGAAAAAGGGATGCAGAGACAAGTAAGTAAATGAAGAACAGAGCAACACATTCGAAGAGACATTACAGCCGGTAGCTACCTGGTAGGGGTACATGTGTGTTCATGTCGCGGATGGGTACGATGAAAGCATGCAGACCGTGGCAGTTTCCCTGAGTGTAAAGCTGGGCTAGAACTACGGCATGGTTTGAGGTCTTTCCAACTAGAAAGAGAATGAGAGAGAGGGTTGAAACTAGTTTGTTCTGAAAAAACACAGGAAAATATTAAATCAAATAATCTTTCATCAAATTCATCATTAAATTCCTTATTTATGCACATAGGGATTCTGCTGTTTGGCCAATTCCAGGCTGCTAAGTTTTGGTGCAGTCCTAACACTGCAGAGACATCACAGCCTGAATGTACTTACGTCCTCCAGGCCACCACTTGATGGAGCTGATTGTGGGGCTGTTCAAGACAAACTCCTGAGTGGCTGGATCATATGTGGCTGTGGTCTCCAGCCCTCTGAGGTGAGTGCCTAGAGAGAGACAACAGATCAAAGCACACCAAACACATAGAAAGGGAACACATACATACAGAGTACAAAGTGGAAAAACCAAAATGAATGGTTACTCAGTGACAGCAGTGAGACATTAATCTGTAAAGCATGTTTACAACTAACATTGTAAGTGACACGTGATATGACAGATGATTAGATCAATCAAACATATTATAATATGTGAATACATGAATCATACAGTCAACAAAAGATATCTCAAAACATCAAACAGGATAATGGATCAAAGAAACATGTTTAGCCCAAAACAGTTCGATATATAAATATGTTTCTGAACTCTTTTCAATGAAAATAAAATGGATGAAGTCAACATAGATAAGCAAAGCAGTGAACTTTGTTGAGGTTTGACAGATCTAAAAACATATGTAACAATCATATTTTAGGATAATATAATTCATGCTTTGTCTACGGCATGCCGTTTTTGAGATGGACTTGGAATTTGCATCTATATTATTGCTATACTCGTCTGCAAACAAAACATAATCTATGATTGTAAATAAATAAAACAGTTCTGTTAAAAATACATAAAAGGGGTTAGTAAGAGAGCAAGAAAGGTAGTTTAGTTTAGTTCTTGGAGGACTATAGAGTGCTTGAGATCAGGGAGCATAACACAGTGATTCCAGAGTTTGGGCATGAGTAACTGGAAAATCTAATTTTGAAATCAATCAATGTATATTTTTTTGCATTCACTATCATGTTAACCTGAAGCAGCTTAGAAAATTCAGTCAGACTTGGGATTTGTTTACATCCTGTTTGTCCACTTGTGTGGCTTTCCCTACTTGACTGAATGAACTCTTTTCCACCAAAAATTAAAGATGGCAAAATAAGGACAGCTTAAAAAAACTGGCATGCCAGAAAAAATAAACAATCTTTCTCAGATAATTATTAATGGAAAATTAGTATGACTACATATAAGAAAACTAGCATTAGTAAACATTATTATTACTACACAATTTTGGTGTCTACTGGCAATGGCAATGATAAAACAGCCAACTGATCCCTGTCTACTGACAAGCCTTGAACAGGCCTGATATTTTGGGCTGCTCTGTTAATTTTACCGTGGCCCATCTCAGTCTGAGCGTAGGTGCCGACAATCTCTAGGTTCCAGGCAGGCATGAAGAAACGGTCCATTTGCTCTGGGGTAGCCTGGTTGAGCAGTGTGGGCAGGAACATCCCCAGATGGAGATCCAAGGGCTCTGGCCTGTCGGGGTGCACACACCTAGGCCACGCAGCACAGGGGTAAACGGACAAGAAAAGCAGGTGGTAATGAAGAAAGGGAAGGGAAAGAGATAGAAAGTGTAAACCCAGTGTAAGTGCAGATGGATGAGGACAGAAAACCCACAGGAGGAATTATGGGAAAGAATTGATATGGTTTATATCAAGAAAAAGAGAGAAGAACAAAAAGAAGAAGAGATAAAGAAGTTTGTGCAAGCAAGCAGTAAGGGTGGAAGTGACAAAGACAAATTAAATCACCTTGTGAGCAGATCATGCATATTGGAATTGCTGATTTGATCATAAGGTCATAATTTGGATTGAAACTTATTTAATTTCCATTTAAATCTGTCTTCAGTACAGTAGCCAGTATCATTTTAATTATTAGGTGTTCAATATTGAAAAATTTGAGGTTGCACTGGCATGACCGCTATATGAAGCACGCTTACACACAGAATCAATCAGGGAGGCCAGAGTTGCCAACCTGGCGACGATAAATTACTTTTCAGACCCTCTTAGCGACTTATTCAGACCAAGCCAAGAAATATATTCCAGTATATCATATTAATTCCCATGCATGCTGCTCAGAGTAAGCACAGTCAACGGCTCTCTCTCAACCAACAGCACTGCAGTCTCTCCCTCTCCTCCTGTGTTGTGCACAGGCAGTCAGTAGGTGTGGCATGTTGGCCACATTTGACCTTCTCTCTCACTCTCTCTCCAGATCTCTGGATTAGGGTGATCATTTGGCTTCTGTGTAAATCGTTAGTTTTACTCTTTCACTTCAGATACACAATGTGCCTGCAGTGATTATTTGGCTAACAAAGTTCAACGCCTGAGTATGTGTTGCTGTATACCAAATCAGAAACAGGTTTGCATTTGCAGTCAAAATTATAATCATCAGATGAACTGATGATGAAAATAACCATTAGCTGCAGCCCTAGGAAAGTGGTCTTGGGCACATTAGGTTACATGATCCCTTACATGAACAAATTGTTCATTAGAGACAGGGCCATCAGTTCTAAACTTTCAGGGTAGCTTTGCACAGATGAAACACAAATTCATAATAACATCCACTTGGCTTTGTAACAACAAGGCAACAAACAATAGCTGGCTTGGCCTACATTCTCTCTCACCACAGATTTGTCAGCCTCTCAGATTACAAAGAGACATTCAGGAGCTAGAACTCAGCCTCATTGTGGCTCCCAGACCACGTATTTCCGCTGCATATAATGTAGGCTCTCTTGCTTTTGATGTAAGATTGCATAACAAGGACAGAAAATTTTCCCAGTCTATGTACTACCTGCTAATTTAGACACCAGAAGATCTCAACATCCAAACCAAGGACAGGCTAGATAATCAAGACTTAATTACTGATTCAAAAAAGTGCAAACTTAGTTATTAATTTACAAAAAGCAATCAAGACACAAGCAATTAAAATGCCTATAAACTTCATTATCAGTGCATTATCATTACATAAAGGGGAAATGAGAGAGTTGTGAGTAGGAAAGCAGTAGAACTACCCAATGTTGAGGGGAATATGTTTTGGAAGAGATGAGACTAAACTAATTTTATTTTAATCCTGAAGGTGTAAGGGACAGCTACTAGTTGAGCGATGTTAATAGCGCAGTTACATCTATTATCTAGTCACAAAGTACCATCTCTTGTTAGTACGAAATGTCACACATGAGTACAATTGTCAGGACCCACATGCAACTACTTTTGCAATTTTTCTACATGATTTAGATCTGTCAAACACATACAAGAAATCACCAGACCTACACCTGGTACTTTACAAACTTGCTGATATAGGCCTCTTTTCCTGCAGCAAATATAATTTTGGCTTAACATTAAAACAACACAAATGCCATTTTGTGCTTTTTAAGTACAGCACAGTGAGATTGTGTCTGAGGGCTTTAAACAAGTAATAAGGTAAGGGCTAAGTCGAGGACTGACCGTGACCCATCTCAGTTTGGGCATACGTGCCCACAACCTGGAAGGACTCTGCCACAGGTAACCATTTCCTGGCCTGCTGAGGGTTGCACTGGCTGTACAGGGTTGGGAGGAACATGACAAAGTGTAGCCCCATGGCCTCATGATGGTTGCCTCTAACCATACTGGGTGAAGAAGGGAAGGTATAGGATACACAACAGACTTGCTATTATTCAAAATGCAACTGATGTATTTGCTGTTTGCAAGATAATTAGTTTTTTTATGGCTGAGATTTATCTACACTTTAGTTTCTTGTTTGGACATGGTACTCTGTCATCTTAAAAGTTTAGTTTAGTATTCAGTCAAATTCAGTGGTTGAACCAGTAAAATAAAAAGTCTCCGGTTGAGGTTCTTCATCACTCGAACTGGATGACATGGCTGTATATCTTTCTTATTTACATTGCCTTTTAGGAATTCTATCTGGAAACTTATCAAATCACTATTGCGACTGACATGCAGTAGGCTTTCCATTGACCGCCTGTCCTACAATCATTGACTTGTCAAAGAGAGCAAGTAAAGTACAATAGATATGTGATCCATGTCTATCCTTTTTAAAGCAGCCACAATCAATATGATGATGTGAATGTGAACTGCATAATATACATCAAATAGGCTGGCAGAAAGCTTGGGAGTGCATGAACAAAGCACACTGGAAGTTTGACCAAAATAAATAAATACTACTAAACTAGATTTTAACTGAGTCAGTGACTATTGTGCAACTGGTGAAAGCTATGAAAACCGCTTGCACACCGTCTGACACAGTTATAATCTTATGATGAACTTTGCTCCACCTGACTTTGTTTGCTTCAGGGTCACATACAGCTACACTTATATTACACATTTTCCCCAAAGACAAATCTAAATGATTCTTTGAATTCTGTACTACCACCAAATTTGTAAATCAAGTTGTTTGATACAGCTACAGAATAGTTGTTAAACTTCCACCCACTGGGGCCCTTTTGTGAAATAAAGACTTACAATTAAAAATAGAAAGTGGAGAATAAAGCACAATACTTTTGCTTTACCAGTCCACCAATTAATGACTGCGCTCATATAATGGAGCTAAAGCTATAACATGATGGCAACCTTTGGTATTTGAAAGTAACATTGGTAATTTTGTACATTGCAAGTCAGTTAACAAACAATCCAGGTATATTATTTGATTCCTGCCATAAAGGGTGTGATGGGATTAAAGCCAAATTGTGTAACATTTTAACCACATACATTATGTGCAATTTAAATAAATATAAAGTCCACAGACTTGATCCTGACAGTACTATATGTGACAGAGGTCATAATCTTTTTCTTTATATAAAATGTCAGTAAGTATAAAATAATACTTCCCTGAACAACAGGTGAGCATGCACAAATGTAAATGATTACAATGTTACACTCCTTGTGTGCCTGAGTTACTTAACCAGCTCCATGTTTATTTACTCCTCCTAACAGAAGATTTGACTGTGTGTGCACTGCTGTCCCACAGGCTTGCAATTACATCGATCTATCTGGATCTCCAGTATGTAAACCAGTTGGCCTCACATGTCGACTCCGTTACCACATACTTCTTGTAGCAGTAGATCTCCTCTGGGTCTGCAATGCCATACTCTCTGAGCTTCAGGATCATTTGAGCACTTTTTCTAACAGCCTGGTCATAGCGCTCACTGCGGGACAGGAAGTTTGGGTCCTCCTCCTGAAAGTCCGGGTCATTGAGAACCATTGACTCTACAGTAGATAGTGGAAATTAGATCAGAAATGTATCTTTTAGTCCATACAGCTGCTGTGGTTTATACAACTGGAAGTAAAAGTCAAGACCTACATATTATCAATGCTTAACTGGACATTTGCAAAATGTGTACAAAGGCTTCTGTGAGCTGACTGGAAGCATAAGATTACTGGCCCGCATACAGTACCACCCATGCATTATCAAGGCAGCATTACTTCAAAAACTGTGTCACAATGGAAGAGATAACTCCTGCAGTCTCCATCGAATACATGCAAGGCCAGTGTCAAGAAAGGAAGCCATCTTTTGTCAGAATTTGGAGGATACTTGTGTTTGCCATCCTCAGCAAAGGTTACACAAGTCAAAAATGTACTATATCATGAACTTGTTTCAACTTGGAGCAGTGTTTGCCCGTTTGTGTTTAACTTCCTTGTGATACATTTGGAAATGATTGACTTTTTAAGTCAACGGATACTCTATATATCAGCTTGGGTCTCTTTGAGGCTAGATTGTCTCATTTGAGGAAGAAGTTTAGGTTTAGCAGAGCCCTCAGTGTCTCTGACGGACAGACCTTGTGGGCCATGTCTTTCAAAGGGTCCAGACCATGAATTTAGACACAGCTTCTTTTATCTTGCCAAAGCAACATGACACAGATTTTTAGAACTGCAACAATTACTCGATAATTGATAAGTCAATGAAATGGACAGTAGTAATCTAAAACTATTCTGATAATCAATTAATTGTTTTGAATTCTTTTTTTAAGAAAAAGTGTGATTATTTACTTAGGGTCTTAGGGTTTTGGTTTGTTAGACAAAACAAAACAGTTGAAGAGGTCATCCTGGACTCCTGGAAATTGTGATGGACATTAAATTAAACTTTTCTTTTATACATATTAAAGTGAAAAAGACGAATTGTTTACTTGAGAAAATACCCAGATTAATTGATAATGAATAATGAAAATAATCATTATTTGAGGCCACAGTAATTTAGAAATACATGCATGCTGATTTAAGAACGTATACAGAGAGATGCAGTGAGATGTATGAAATAAGTTTCATGTAACACATTTTCAAATGTGTGCACACTGACAAATTTCAGAATGCATTTGCACACTTGGGCACACATATATGGTCTCCAATTGTCCATGACCTGACCTGACCTGAGTTCCTTCACACAGATTCAAACATACAGTGTGTTGTTCTCTGCTGCCTACCTAAAAGTCCACAGGTAGCTCACAGTAACATCACTTTAATCAACTATTGTAAGGATGTTTGCTAAAAGACACGAATGCCGAATTCACCAACGCAACATACCAAACGACCCTAACATACCTGTCTTTACAAATAGCACCTTAAATGGACGTCGTGTGATATTGACTTTTAAATACAGTAAAAGTTTGGTTCAGTTCAGGACAACTGGAACGTAACGGCCGCAAACGTCCGCTAGCAACTCAACAGCCAACAGTCGACACAAGCTCCTTTCTCTCCACTAAGTTAGCTATACTCGTTTCTTAGCAAATATCCCTCATTATCATCAGCCTTTGTCACGTTTTAAGGTACGAGAACAAAAATCGTCAGACAAAGAAGACATTTCAAACTCACCAATTTCTCGCCTTCTTTTGGTCTTTTCTGGGCCCCCGTCCAAAATGTACGTCAGTTTCTCGACGTCAAAAGTGGCATTTTGCCGCTCTTTCATAATATCAGGATTCATGGCTCTATAGCTGAGTTAAAAAAATATATATTTTGTGAAAAAGTATAATGGGAATTGTGTTGTATAACCTCTGGAAACCTGAACCTGACGGGTCCTCTGCAAACGGCCTCCTCTTGGCGCAGCCGCAGAATGGTCGGCACAGGCGGAGACTAAGGAGTCATGTGACCTGTAACCCGGTAGTAACCAGCCTTCCTCAACACCTTACTGCACAGTCTGAACACTTCACTCACAGTATTCAACTAGTTCACTGTGTTTCAGAGTTTTATTTTTATTTTTACCAGGATGCTTCCTGCAGCTGCAGTTTTCCATTTCCCCTGGGAAATAAACTCTGGAGCAGTGCAGGAAGGAGAGTCAGTGAGAACATTTGGCAGGTAGGTTTTGTTTTTGTTTTTGTTTGTGACTAACAACAACACATCTGGTTTGATGTCACTGAAAGACAACATTAATATTATGCAACGTATTCGCTTTATACAAGACCATTTATGCTTTACGGGACTATAAACAGTGGTTTGTGTACACACGTTTGTCAAAACTATACTTAAAGTGAAACTATGTAACTTCTGAAAGAAGAAAAACTAATTCTTCTTAATTAAACTGAAAGTTGAATTCATATAGAAATACAGTGCACCTTTAATCGATTGCTGATACAGCCTTTCTTGCTACAACAAATCGATAATAATTAATTGACTGATTGTTGCATTTGATGTGTAACTGACTTTCATAACTCTTCTCTTTTTGTGCTACTGTTACACAACCTTTTAGCATTTATTATTATCCTGTAATTGTCACTTAAACTAAAGTTCACCAACCAAACAATGTTCTTTTGTTATTATTATCACATGTATGAGAATACAATACAACTTTATTATCCACCAAGGTAAAACCACTGTCATTATGACTTCCCCAGGTTATAAAATGTAATACACCTTAAAAAACATAAAAATATTGACTTGGACATGAAACCTGTTTTTCCAGACTTGCCTGCTATGATCCTGAGGTTTCTGAGGCCACGCTGTCAGCTCAGCATGCTTCAAAAGAGCACCATGTGGTCATCCACACCATGTTTGTGGAGCCCTTTAACCCCATCATTGGAGCCCAGTACATTGTTCTGGGCGAGATAGAAAATGCTAAAGGTAAGGAAAGACTTTCTGATCTGTTATGACTGGTGAATAATTTATTAGGATTACCAAACAGCTGTTTCTTGTTTCTCTTGGGTCCAAATACAGTATCAGACGAACAAGAAACTGACTGGCTATCCGAAAGTAGTATTTCCACATGTAAAAAATAGTATTATCCGGTATACATTGCGTAAAAATGAAATATTTATCTGTATCTTCTTGTCTTACAGGGGTTGGTGTGATGGTCCGTGCCCGTGTGCTGAACTGTGTTGATGGTGTAAATACTGCCCTTCTACAGAAAGCCATCAATGAGCAAAGGAGCTTCTTCAGGGAGAGGGACCACAAACAGAGTGATGCTGCACAACCTGCACACGCAACCTGATCAGGGTCTTCATTCATCAAGTTTCCCAGAGTGCTTGTTGAGTATCTGGACTACAGCGCTGCCTCTTGCCAAGAGACACTGTTTGCTGTTGTATGAACTTTAAGAATGTTTGGTTAAGTGGAAAATACGTTACTTTCATTATTGTTAACTTAACTTAACTACCTTTCTCACCAACAGTTTTCTGCACTTTATCAGTCCTCGGGTTTCTGTTTGACAATTAAAGCCCCAAATTGGATGGACTTCGGTTTCTTAGTTGATCAGTGTTTTGGGTCCATGACTTATGAATATGGTGCATGTTTTTGCCATTTCTCTCAGTGTTAAGACATCTGATATTATTAGTTTTTCATTACTGCCATTTTATATAGTGGTCTTAACATTCTTTCATATTGATCTTTTATCTTTCAAAAATGCTTTAAGATTTGTTACAATAGGTATTTTTATATGGCTCATGTCATACAGATAAAAAACTGAACATGGATATATTCCACTCACAATAAAATAGCAATGGTTTAAAATTGTTTACAGAAGAATAATTGCTAAACTTTCCCATTGAGCACTTTGCACTCTCTATCTGTTCTGTCTATTAGATACATTTTAGCATCTTGGTATAGTCTGGGTTATTATTGGGTTATATTACATAGATCAGGATTTGCACTGAAGTACCACTAGCAGAATGAATATCATTTTATCCATATTAATTAAATAATCATACAAACAATAGAATTCAAAGCAGAAGCCTGTATCTCAACCACATTAGGACCAAGTTTTCATGGGTTTAAGACAAAAATCAATAAAGGCATGTTCTCCTGTATCTAAACACGTTGTTTAAATTAGTCATCATGAACAGTATCTTCTGCATGCTCTAATTAGTGAGCTATACAGTTCCTGGCTTGTATGCTAAAGCAGTGGTTCCCAACCTTTTGGCTTGTAACCCCTAATGACAGATTATGGCCTTAGAGTTGATTAGACATTAAATAATTAGTCTTTTAATTGATTAGTCCATCAACAAGGAACAATTTTGTTAGTTTATTACTTATTGCTGTAATTTTTCAAGCAGAAATGCCATGTAGTTTCTATTTCTAGCTATTCCAATGTGAAGATATGCTGTTTTTACTTCTTTTCCACAATAGCAGGTTTTTGACCGTTGCTCAGACAAAATGTGAAGATGTCAGTTTGTATATTGGGAAATTGTAATGGCCATTCTTCATTGTTTTCTGATATTTAGACCATTATTTATTTAGACCAGCAACTGCAGAAATAACTGCAGCCTTAGTTTGGACCCCTTTGGTGGCCCCAACCCATGTTTTTGGAACCACTGTATTAAAGGATGCATCCTTAAAATTAAATCTAGTCTTCAATGTTTTTGCAACTAGCATGTTAATGTGTACTGGGTGGAGTGTTGCCCATTATTTGTTCTTTAATATCAATGAGGAACATACCTTCTTTTTCCCGATACACTTGTGGTGCATAAAAAGGGAAAATGTAAAAGTCACCCAGATTTGGTGTTTTAACTAGGTTCTTAAATATAAGATCTAATATTGTGTGACTATCTATTGTACCTGTTTGTGTGTGTTCTTTATTTAACAAGACTACACAGCACTGGAATTGAGGGAGTCCATGTTCTTAAACCGGTATAATTTAAATTTATTGATATTTGTTTCTTCATAAAGTATCAAACAAGATTCAGTTTAAAGTGAACAGTGTCAAGGATAGCCCACGAGTAATACAGAATCAAATCAATCTTGGTAAATAGCATTGCACCATGTCCCAGTATCCCTAATACCACAATAATATCAAAGATAAACTGCATTTATATTCTCTGTTTTTAAATTAAATCAAACAAAAATCCGCCCACATCACACATGTTTCGTAAACAAAGGCAAAACAGCAGCAATCATTTTGGCTAGACAGACAGCTTTGCAGCAGAAGACTTTTCCTGAGTCAAAATGTACATTGTAATTAATGTATTTTCATATGGTTTTAAATGTGTTTTCATATGGTTTTCCCATAATCTAATAGTACATTTTTACCACATCACTCCACGTAGCAGATATCGCCAAGTGTGTTGTAAACATCTAGAATCTTGCATATTTTGAGTTGTACGTTGGAGTGTAACCCGACTCTTTGGAGGAGGCGGGCAGCATTGGTAAGCCTGACATTGGGTCTGTCTTACAGCGATCCATAGCTTGTTTGTAGGTGATCTTCTCCTTTGTGATTGGGTCTACAATATCCTTAATGTAGGTAGTCTCAGCCTGCAGCTCCCTCATCATTGTGCTGTCGATCATTTTGGACCCAATGGCATCCAAGATGCTTACTCTGCGACCAGTGTTGGGATTGACCAGCCCTCCGGTCAGGTGTTGTGCCTCCATGTAGCGAATGGCAGTGTCCTTTGGCATCCAGCCTTTCTGAACAGCTTCTCCCACAGACAAACACTCTTTGGTCATGGGGTCTTCAACACCAGTGAAGGCCTTTTGTGCATTGAGTAGCCTCTGGAGTTGACTGTCCTCAATGAGGCCTTTAGCTGCTGCCTTGTGAACTGTGTATCTCTCCCTGTTGTTGATATCAATGATGCCACCAGTTGATGCCTGAGCCTCCAGAAGTTTTTGGGCAGTGGCTGGGTCGATCAATTTACGCAAGGCGGCATTACGTATCGTAAAGCAGGTGTCAGTGTTTGTATCAATTACTCCAGCAACTGGGTAGACTTCTTTAGCAGTGGAGAGGTCTGAGGGGGCTGATTTCACTGTTGTGGTGGACTTTGGGATGATTGAGTTGAACTGGGGTTGCTTCCTGTTGTCACCCGCAACCAGCAAGGCAAACTCTGAGATGGGAATCTTGCCTTGTTTATACTGTTGTAGATTAAACTCTGTCAGCCTTCCTTCCTTTAGAGCATCTTTGATGGAGTACTGCTTTCCACTCTTGCGATCCTGCAGTACAGATGTCTCCCCTTCAGGTCCCATCGAAGTAATCTCCTCCCAATCACACTCCAGCTCCTGAAGATGAATGTACTGTTGACGATCAATCAGGCCTTGCAGGTAGGCATCATAGGGAGACATGTCTTTGCCTGTATCTGGATCCAGAATAGTGATTTTGGTGGAGACATTGGTCTCTTTGGTCCTTGTCTCTGCTTGCTCCTCTTTCTGCAGGTTCAGCAGAAGATCTCGGATGACGCTGTCTCGCTGATGGATCTTATCTTTTTCATCCAGGATATCCCTCTCCAGACGCTGGGTTTCAGACACCATTTTAACGCTCCTCTGCCTGCTTGTCTGCGCTCTCTCACTCAATAACCTGCTCTGCTGCTGGAAAGAGAAGCTGGTGTCATGTTTCTTGGCCTCAAGTGTCCTGAGCTCCCGAGTGAGGTTGTCCCTCTCCCTCTGTAAGGCATCTCTGTTCAAATTAATGTTAGTCTCCTCTCTTGAAGAGTTGGACTTGGTGCTCATCAGAAGGTTGATTTTATCATTGAGACGTCTGATTTCATCTTCCAGGTCTTGTCTGGTATATTTTTGCTGAGAAACCTGCTCCCTCAGGCGATCCCTCTCTGCTTCGACTGCCTGGTCTTTCTCAACACGGACAACCTCTTTGTACACCGTCTTCTCACCAGACTTCTCCTTCTGCAGGATCTCAAGCTTTAGTGTGATGCTACGTATCTCTCTCTGGAGGCGTAGGATTTCACTGGATTGCGTGTCCATGTCTGAACGAAGACCGCTTGTCATCCTCTCCAGTTTCGGGTCTCTTTCAACTTTGAGTACCTCTTCGACAACAATACTTTCCTCAACAGGAGGTGGGGCATTTTCCAGCTGTGTGATCCGCAGTCGGATCTCTCTGAGCTCAGACTCGGCTTGAATCCTCTTTTGGCGCTCATCACTCTCTCTGAGGATCCTCTCTTTATCTTCCACCTTTGTTCTTAGCTGCTGCAACTCTAGGTCTATCTGACGCCGAGTCTTTACTTCTTCATCCAGGCTCCTGCTGAGCTTCTCATGCTCAATCAACTGCCTTGGGTCCTTCTGTAAACGCAAAACCTCCTTTACAACAACTTTCTCCTCAGGCTTCTGTCTCTCCAACAGGATGTATTTGTTTTGCAGATCAAACACCATCTCTTCAATGGAGCGCCGCAGTTGTGCCTCCTCCCGCACATCTCTTCTCAAGCGGTCAGCTTCTTTCTCCAAGAGAGGATCAGGTTCATACTTGATGACTTCTCTGGTGACGAGTTTGGTCTCTATCTTGGATTTTTCAGCCTTCCATTCATCTCTCTCTTTCCTAAGTAGTCTCACCTTGTCATCAAGGGAGCTGTAAGTGGTGCGTAAATGGTTCACTTGATCGTTTAGCCTCTGTATCTCTCTCTCATTTTCAGGGCTTCTTTCCTCCTTAACCACCTCTTGGAGAACTTCCTTCAGCTCCACCTTGGGCTTCTCAGAGCGAAGGATGTTCACCTCAGACATGACCTGGGTGATCTCCCTTTCCAGATCAGAGTGCTGCCTGCTGGAGTCTTGTATGTCTTTCCTGAGCCGCATTATCTCCACCTCTGTGTTTGGGTCTATCCGGTAGATCTCATTAACAATTTCCTTCACTTCGACTTTTGGCTTCCAGTTTTGAACTTCTCTGTAGCGGCTGTGGAGCTCCATCAGCTCTTTGGACAAAATGTTGTTTTCAATCCTCTCTTCGTCCACACTTGTTAGAACCCTTTTAGATTCAGTGATGAGGTCAGGGTCTTGTTCAATCTTTTTCACTTCTTTAGTGATAATCTTTGGCTTGATGTTAGGAATCAGTCTCTCAAGTGCATTAATCTGACTCCTTGTCTGGAAGATTTGATCGTTGAGTAACTTGATCTTGTTGTTCTCTTCAGAAATGTCCATCTCAAATGTTCGCACTGCCCTCAACATCTCAGGGTTCTGTTCTACTTTCAGCACTTCCTTCTTAACCACCTTCTCTTTGATAAGTGGTCTCTTCTGCTCGAGAATCGTGACTTCTGTCTTCATCTGAATCTGCTCTCCATCTCTGACTCGAATTTCCTCTCTGATCTTTCCCATTTCATCTCTTATCTTAGCAGCCTCTACATCCAGCTGAGGATCTTTCTCAAACTCTGTCACCTCTCTGGTCAACAGTTTTGGTGGAGTTTTTTTGAGGGTGTCCTCCACGATGGTGATTTTCTTGTTTAACACCTCAACATTAGTCTGGGCGGTGCTACGCCTCAGGGCCTCTTCATGCAGTATTTTCTGCAGATCGGCCAAATCACTCTCCAGTTTTGGGTCACGGTAGTACTGCAGTACTTCTTTCTCCTCAACACGCTCTACCCCTCTGCGACTCTTCAACGACAGCAACCTGTCTTTAAAGGTTCTCAGGTCTGTTTCAGCATGAACTGTCCTCTCCTTCTCTTCATCTAGCTCTTTGAACAGACCGTCTAACTCAAAAGAACTCCTTTGTTGGCTTTCAAGCTGCACTTGTTGCTGTGCCACCATTTGGACTTTGTCTTCATTCTGCAGCAGGAAAAACAAATTATTTGAATGGCAAAAAGTTGTTGTGTGTTGTTTTGTAATGTATTTTTATTTATTAGTTTTAAGGATAATATATTTTATAGTAAAGACATCATATAAAGAATAGAAAACCTTTTTTGATTCTCAATCTGTTAACTTACTTGTAAAATTAGATTCTTAGCCAAGCCCATCTGTTTTTGCCGTTGTTTGTTTTCAGCTGTTGCTTCAGTGTAACGGTTGACCAGATCCTTTTCCTGAGACACAGCAGAACATTAGTCGCCTTAAACTTTTAATAAATGTAACAAATTTATATTATGTGAAAAAAAAAAGAACTTAAAATGTTACCTCTTTCTGAATAGCATCAGCCAGTCCGGGCATACGAGGTTTCTTTGCAACAGTGGCTCCAGCATCCTCAAGTGTACTGTTGTATTTGTCAACGTTGACCTCGTATTCCTGCACAGATGTGAAGAATTAGGCTATGCTATTTTGACTTATTTCTTTTCTGTATATATAATGCCTCAAATCACCAATACATTCTCTTGCTAATATTTTATAGCATTGTATTATAATCAGTTTGAGACTTACATTGAATAGATTCTGTAGATCTTGAGACAGGTCAGCCAATCTGTCCATGTCATCTCCCTTCCTCTTTAGGTCATCCATCACCCTCTATGATAAAAAGTTAAACAGATAGTAATCACTATGTGTTATCAATGTCATCTATCATTCAATAATAGAAGATTTACATAGAGCAGAGCATTTGTATAAAGAAATCACTGACAGAGAAATTAAGAGGAGTGGATGCTCTGGAAAAAAAGATAGCACCCTCAACTATTCTTCACATGACACTTCTGTGTGGTCACCAGATAGTCTCACCTCTTGGGAACTCTGCTTAGCAGTGATCTGAGACAGATCATCATTGTAGTTAATCTGGTTTGTAGGCAGGTTGTCCAGGAAGGAGTTCAGGGATTTGCTTGTGCTCTGGAACTCCTGGTTCTTCGTTCCAGCTTCTTGTAAGATGTTTTCTCTAGAGAATTCATCAATATGACAGAAATATTAAACAACTGACTTTGTAAAAGCTCTGCATTATGGTACTTTCTAATTCAAAGAGCGGGTTATAAGCTCAGGTTTTCCTTCATGCCTTTTCCTAGAACATATTTATATTTGAGGTATAAGTAGCTTAAACATTTGCCTGACCACTGACTTTACAAATATCAACTTTTTCTATGTACTGTTACTGTATATATGTAATTTATATTTAATCACAAATACCTGCTTTTGCCAAATAAGGATCAACATAATCCTTTTATTTGCAACATTAATGGCCTCGGCATAGTAGTACAATTGTATACACTTTAGTACACGCAAACCTGCTACAGTTTGCGTATGTCTATGAACTGTGAGCAGGATAAGTAAAAGGTGATTTTCCCTTTTGGTGTTTTGCTGTTGACCGCAGTCTGATTCTCACCTCTCTTTCAGCTGGTTGGCCACATTTGCATAGCGGGTCTGCAGCTGCTTGACGTCTGTTCTCTGGCGCTGGATGTCAGGGCAGAACTCCTGGTAGCCCTGCTCCAGGGAGCTGCACAGCTGCTGTGTGGTCTCCAGATCCTGACTCAGCTTCTTCATGTCGTCCTGAGCCGCTGCCACAGACTTTTGCTGGTACTGAATACAGCAAAGGAGACAGGCAATTTAAAATCAGTCAAATCCAAATTGAGTCTATGAGAAAAAGAGAATCACCTGTGTGGTAGAGGTAAGAGCTTAAAAGAATGTGGAAATGCAGATTTCCTCACCTGAATGTCCTCAGTGCGGGCTTGGATTGCATTTGGTACGTCAGGTATTGGACCATCTTCACTCAGCTTTTTCTCAAAACCAGAGACAAGGCCATCCACCTTCTTAATCTGACTCTCCAGTTTGAGAGATGCATTTGCTCTGGAAAAAAAAAAAAATATATATATATATATATATATAATTATAAGTGTACTGAAATGGTTGAGTTCAGAAGCAGAGCTCAACAATGGCAGACAGACTAAATATGACTAAAAACATGACAGGTCTTAATGTTGTTTTGTCAATTTCTTTTTGTTAATTTGCCACTTTGAAACAGGAATAACCATATGGAGACAAAACCCTCCACCATGTGACTGCATACATGCAACTTCCCAAACACAACGTCCTCTTACTTCTTGCCATAGAGGTCAGCAAGTTCTGCAATGCTGTCGTGCTTGTTGTTGGCAGCGTTCAGTTTGAGTGGCAGTGCAGAAGAAGCACTGCTGGACAGCAGGGGCTGCAGGTCAGCCTGAGCTGCCAGCTTCTGCTGCTCCAGAGCCTTCAGAGTCTTGGCAGCTTCCTGTAACAGACCAATGTAGATACTTTAGATACTTGCACTAATATACTAGTAGGCTTTTCCACAGTTTCTACAATATCATTACCAAGGGGTATCTGCGGATCAGTCTTGTTTCTATTTGGAAATTATGCCTAGACTCAAGAGAAACCCCATCGACCCATTGGTTGTAACTTTACGTATTTAAATATAAAATTAGTTGTTCCATTTTTATCCTCATTTTATAGCTTCTGTATGTTTGTCCTCATGACAGTTCTCTGTATGTGGGAGAAGCAGTTTGGATTTCATTATTTGTACAATCTGAACCTGGGCTAAAGTTTGGGTTCATAATGAGCAACCAGTATCTTATGATGGACATTAAATTAAGTAAAATAAATTAAGCCACATAGTTGATTCCATTTAGTAAATTAGTGCTTTCACACACATTTCCTCTAAATCTAAAGTATAGACTGAAAGAATCCACACAGAAACATGCTTCAATTAATACAGATTGAATGAAAAACAACAGTGTTGATGTCTGTTGGTAACTTTATTCCTCTCACCTCTTGTTCCCTCAGCCTGTTGGCCAGATCTCCGGCTGGGTCAGTGCGGCTCAGTGGGGCTCGCAGGCGGCTCAGCATGCTCTCCTCAGCACTGGCCAGGTCGTCGTCCAGCTTGTCCAGCTGCTGAGCCAGGGCTGTCACTTTGGGATCCATTGCAGCAGAAGACACTGGAGCTGAATGAGGAGACAGGGAAGTTTACTGACTGATAACACTTTCACGATTTAACACTATTTGTGCAACTGGTCATAAATATTTATAATGCTTTATAGAACCAATGATGTCATATGAATAGGATATTTAAGGATTTCATTTATAGACAAGGACCTGATTGTTGGGATCTGGAGACGTCTGATTTGTGATTTTTCAGGGATGCCGCCAGAGCAGCTCTTCTCTTCTTGATGTCTTGAAGTTCACGACCCAACCTAATGAAGAGAGAGTCAGAGAGGAAGGAAATAGGAACAGTATTACTGACACATTCTTGCATTGTTGTGGCTGCATAATAATAAAGCCTTGCATCACTTACAGGTCCACTTTGTCAATGGCCTCTGGATCAGGTGGAGGAATCTGGAAGCAAACTCCTGGGAAGGTTTTTGTTTTCCCATCAGTGGAGACAATGTCCCAGTTCTCGATGTCTGAGTTCGATTTCAGGGTGCACTTCTCCCCTCTTGACAGAGAAGCCTAGATGATAATGATAAAAATGTTTAGACCAGACTGAATTGAAATCAGCCAGATACTTGACGGTCTCTGCCTCACAACAATTAAAGATTTCAGAAGAGCCACCTTGTCTGTCTCCCAGTCACACAGGGACTCTACTGTGATGGGTCTGTTGGGGTTGTTGCGTCGTAGCTTCAGAGGAGCGATGGTGGTGCTGCGTCTCCTCAGGTCTGCCAGCAGCTGCTCACTGTTCTGTACAGCCTTCTCTTCTGCCTGGTGGGAAACAGATACAGAGGGAGAAAGTCTGAACTGTAATCTCTTGTTTCTAATGACAGTTTAATGCACCTTTGTTTGGGGTGTCCTGAACACTGCAAACCTACCTTTTTTTGGCTGGATATTAAACTAGGATGCATGATAAGTTTTGTTAGTGGGACTAAACCAATGAGCTGGTTTTATTTTGAAAGATGAACTCCAGCAAACAATGTAAAATAATAATTGAAAAAGGAAATTACTTAAAGAAGAAATTCAGCAATATTTATGGGTGGATGTGTGCTGTGCTATTTTGTGCCTATTTATTATGCCACGTATATGAATTTCATTAGATATGCTGATTTAGATATGTTTCATTTTGTCTTATTATTATCTAGCAAGAGAATCTAACAGATTAAAATGAGCCTTTATGCAAAATGTACAGTTGTTGTTACATAAAAAAAACAACATATAAATAAATAATTATGTTCCAGAATAATGAATAATGCGTAGGTATACAAATGTCTAACATACAATAATAATAATCATAATAAAAATAATAATAATAATGTAAACCTACTTTATGTGTCCAGTCTTTCTCCATATTAAAACTAACTACCATCACTTCCTAATATATATAATTATATGTATTATTATTATATATATTATTATATATAATATTATTATAATATATATATATGATAATATATATAATGTTTTCTTCTCATATGACCAAGTCTCTCCCACGCCTCCCACAGGGAGGTGCAGGTTGAATCTTATGTGTGTATCGTCTTGCTTGATTCAGTAATATTGACTATAAAAGTTCCCCGTACCTCGAGCTGCAGCAATGTCTCCGAGTTACTCTTCTTGCTGATGGAGATGGGGTCCAGGCTGTTGTTGAGTTTGGTCATTGTCTCTGATAGTTGATCTGTCTCCATTTGGTACTGGAAAATTTCACAAAAATATATATTTTTGCACAACAGGGAGATATATTCAGTGTATGATAGAGAGACAAAATATGCATTATGTTCTCACATAAACACAAAATAATAATAATGACAAATTGTGGTTTATGCTTTCCCATATTTACCCGTTTGAATTCTTCCACATTGTCCAGGTGTGTCTCTTGACAAATGCAGAGATTGAGGAATTTCTGCCAATCGTTTCGTACAGCATCTTTCTGAGCCTTGAAATGTAATGTAATTAGTTTATTTTAACCTGGAGTTTAAAAGGTTAAACTTCATGACATATCTAAAGTTGAAGACTTTGGCCTTTAAAGCATTTGCTGTTCAAAGCAGTGTCCTCTGGATAATGACAGGTACCTGTATTGTGTCACTTGCAGGGTGTTTCATTTCAATGAGTCTGTCTCCTTCCTCCTGAAGTTTGTTCACCTCGCTCTCATGGGACAGCAGGCTGTTGTTCTTGAAGTTCTGGTTGAGATCATATCAAATTGGGGTTGTTAATGTGTTTGATCAGGACTAATACCTCAGTACGGATCATTACGGTATTTTTCACTGTTTTGGCTAAACAACCCGTCGGTCCTGACCTCATACTGCCTGCGGACGTCAGGAGGGTCCACCATGCGGTCACTCCAGTCCTGCTTTGTGATCTTATCTTGTTCTTCTCCCAGAAAGGCCAGTTCCTTGTTGCAGCCCTGCATGTACTCGTACAGGCTGTTCAGGTAGTGGCGACGCCACTTGGAGTTGTCCTGAGGAAAAAATAAATAAAACTGAATAAAACCTGAGAAGCTCTGAAAGTTTCTTGTTAAATAAAAAAACAATACATTTAACCAAAGTTAGGGAGAAGAGGAAGAATAGCTCAAAAGTGATTTCAGTATGTGGACATTTTATTTGCTAATATTAAATAACAAAGAATTATTTCTGATACATGAACAGAAAAACATACACACTATCACATGATAATTAACCAATAAAGGGCAAAGAATGAAGGTAGTTTCATTGTAACTTTAAAGAGAAAGATATTTTTCATGGCCCCCCAATAAATCTTCACTCATTGTCTTTTCATCACAAAACTTAAAAATAAACGATTCACCAATATTACGTGATTAGTGATGAACTCAACTCACCAGTATATTGTTGTACTGTTTCTTCAGGGCTGTATATTTCTCCTAAAAGACAAAATAGCAACATACCATATAAACTGAAAACGTTCTCAAGACATTGACAGTTTTGATGAGCTGCTGTGATGGATTTGGAGCGATTTGCTTAAGAGTATCCTGTGAATGTGTTTTCATGTAAGCATGTTTGTCCACCTTGCTGCCTGCAGAGCTGACGCAGAGCTGTGAGCTGTAGCCTTCGACCTCTTTGTGCAGGATGTTGTGAGCAGCAATCTGCTTCTCCAGGTCAGCCATGGTGGGCCCGTACTCCTCCACGTTCACCTCTTTCTGTGATCACACACACACACAAGAATACAGTTGATGTTGTGTAGAGACAACATAACAACCAGGCTGAGGGACTCTTTCACTAGATGTGTTTTTAACTTGCTCATCTCTGGCTAATGTGTTTATTAGGGTAGTAAGAATCTGTAAAGCATTGGTTTATAACTGAAAACATGCACAACATCAATAACAACAGGTATGTCCTGGATGTGGAGCAGCAGTAGATGTATTATTGTATGTTATTGTTAACTAATCCCATAAGAAAAACAGACTTCCTTACTCTGGCTGTCAGTCAACCCGAAGATTATTTGTTCCTGAATATGTAAATCTCTAGAAAAAAAACTCACTTTTAAAAAAAAGCTCAGTAATTTCCTAAAACAACGAGGCACTATAGTTTTTTTCTCGCCAAAATCACTAAAACTGGAGTAAATAGCGCATTTGTTGGGGACTATTTTCAACAGTGGATTAATACACATTGTACAATGGTCTTTTCGTGGGATTAGTTGACAATAAGAAAAGTATGACATGCTGCCAACATCCTTTACATAACATAAATCCTGGATGTTCTGAGAGTTTTTAAGCAGACTGGCCCAAATGTTCAGACAGCGTTATTAAACTTACTTGCTTCTCGTTGAAAACAGGCGCCCAGTCGATTCTCGGCATCAGCGACACGTCGTCAATCTGCTCATAGATTTCTCGGTAGAAGGTGCAGTCCTTTAACCAGCGCTCATGGAGGAGCATGACACTGGAGTCACCAGAGAACAGAGGAGGGGCAAAGAAACAAACAACTTACAACAGGTTTTTATTTCAGTGTGCCTCTTTCCAAAGTCTGTTTGTATGTTTATTTTCTGTCTTGTTTGTCCTGATTGACAGACAGAGACTTTGTAATGAGGAGTGACATTATGAAATGGGAGAAAATGGCTAAATAATGTCTATTTATCTTATATCTATGGGCCTCCACAAGCATTAGCATTAGCTTTAGGTTGGGGATCCAGTAATGTGCTGTTGTGGACTAATGTGTGATTTTTACTTTCAAAGGATCATGAAAGGAAACTTTTCCACACTTCTCTGCATTGGGTAGCTGTACTGTAATTCCTCTGTGTCGTATTTATTCTGTAACAACTCACTCGCTCTCTATCTCGCGGGCTTGTGGGTGTTTGAGCTTCTTGGCCTTGTCGACGTCGAGGAAAAGCTGCTTCAGCAGGGCCTCGGCCTCGCCCAGCTTGGTTGATATCTCAGCCTGATGCTTGAAGGGCTGGTCTTTCTTCTCATTTTCATTATCCTGGTGGAAGCAGACAACAGTCAGGGGGGTTTCATTTAGAAAGGGCCTCCCAGTAAAAGTGATGTATCATTAGTGCATTAGTTTGAGTTTGTCTGTCAGTGTGTGCTTGTGTGTCTCACCACTGCCAGCATCTCCTCAGACCGGAGGATGTCTTTCTCCACCTGGTCGGCATTCTTTTGCATCTGGGCAATCAGCAAGGCCAAGCTGCTGGCCTGGTTCCTGCAGGGTGAGGAGAAAGGCCACAGATTAAGACAGAAGCACAGAACAGATTACGTATTGTCAAGAATCAGTTCAGTCTTCTCCTCTTGTGCATTGAAAAAGACAACCAAACCAATGGCACGTCAGTAATTATGCTTTCTTTGGTGTAACTTCACAAATAAATAAAACATTTTTTTATAGACTAAAGAGCTCTGCCATGTTGTAGGACAATAAACTTTAAGGACAAAACATATTTTCTCAACCGTCTCTGAGACTGACGGAGGCCAGCGGCTCCAACCAGGAGAGAGACAGGAGAGGCCTAAGCAGCAAGTTGTTAGTGCGTTAATTTCTAAATAACTTTTAATGTTTTACATCATCCGTCGTATTTATCCGTCCACGGGTATTTTTTTGGGAAGTTGGAAGTTATTTATTCTGTGTTTTAAACAAGACTTATTGTTAAGATGTTACACTTAAAAATAAATAAACAAATTCATTAATAAACTTTTCCAAAGAAATATATAGATATTTAAAGATATATGTATTAGAATATATAAATTCATATCAGAAATGCGTGATGGCTAGTGACAGTCTTTAGCAGCCCTAATCTCCAGGATCAAAAATCTGTACCGATGCAGTTTTCCTTTCTCTCTTTTCACTTGTTGCCATTATCTGACTGATGCCTGTTTATCAAGATCAAACACAACCTGACAAATCACGCACTGTCTCAAGGGCCAGAGGTTATTTAATTTCAACTTCCGAGCCAACCCCGAAGCGTTCCTTAAATTCTAGCCATTCCTCAGTGGCTGACTGTGACTGTCACCTCCCCCTGTCACTGTCACTGTTTCTCTCTGTCAATGCCACTCTTCCAGTTTTGGCTGCAAAAAGGTAAAACGATGCCTCAGACAAAAGGAAAAGTAAGGAGATTCTGCTGGCTGGCAATTAGAGATGAACTACACCCATAAAACTAAATAAGAGGTCTGTTTGTCAAAAATCAAAAGATTTGAATAAAAATCACAGGATGATATTACAATCTGATAAGAACAGGTTTTTGTGTTAACTACATCTTGGGAGTTTAATTTATTTATTGGTGAGTGAGTGATCAGTTATAGTGGATCTAAATCAAATCATCTGAGAAGGTGTGTGTTTAAACAAGGGAGAACAATATATACAGTATAATACTACAGTCACCAGATCTGTTTTCACTGTCTGCTCAATCCCAGTTAACTAAGTTTTCCTCCACAGGTGCAGGGAAACTTCCTGCATGAAACCTGCAGGTTGAATTTCTTACTGCATTTATAATTTGCATATCCAATGTCTCCATTTTGAGGTGCCATAAAAACTGCCTCCCCAAAACTAATCCAGATGTTACTGTTGTGTGTATAAATATGTCTTTTTTGAAAGTCCAGTTATCATTTTACCACACATTCATTCACCAGCAAATGTAATACCCATAATGTACAGCATTTACACTAAAATAAGTCTTTAATCATTGAAAATGTGACAAGACCTGTTAAACTCTTGCTTTCTTGCTGAGTTTATGGTAGCAGGGCTGAAAAACCTTCATTCATGCACTTAAACCTCTCAAATAACGCTGATACGTAACCAAAGAATGTCGGCAAACCATTGAAGACCTCGCTGATTAACTGATAAAACATACCAAAGCTACCTCAGAGAACAAAGCCATGTCGCCTTGGAAAGAAAACGAGCAAATGTCACAGGAGGTAGATTTACAACATTGACGACCTAAATTGATCGTCGTTAAAGAGCAGCACACGACTCTTTAATGATGGAGCAGAGGACAGAGGAATGCAGAGACGTCCTCTTGCACTGACTCGCAAGCTGATCTGGTTCTGCAGCTGCTCTGACAATGGCCTCCCTATTCCTGCTCACTCAGCAGGAGAGACAGGTATCTGCTGCACACTCACAATAATTATTTCTCAACTTTTAAGCCAAAGAAATGCTTGTGCTATTGTTCAGAGGACCCATCAGTGTCAGCAGAGGATCAGTGATTAATGAAGCACTGTGTTAATATGACCTGCAGGCTTTTACCACCTGTCCTCTTCTTAATGTGTTTTCACTGTTTTTGAGTTGTTGTTACTTTTGACCTTAAAAATGAAAAAATCAATAGTTTGTTCATATGATTCAGTGATTTAGTTATTTTCTAACATATTTTAATGTCAGACATTGAATGTGTGTCTCTGTGTTGATACAGGCTGGTAGAGTTTAATGTTCTCATATGTTTTATTGCTATAAATATACTAAATCTCAGTTAACTAAATCTATCTTACTAACTAATCTAGTTACTAACTCAAATCTGTCATTAAATTTAAGTTTGACTTCTTTTCCCTTACACTTTTTTCAAATATAAATTGTGACCTGAGGGTGACCTAATTTGAACTTACCTTTACTATATTATTATTACAACTATATGATGGGAGGGGAGGTTGTTGTTGGTGATGTGAGTAGAATAGTTGATACATTTCCTCCTTGATAAAGCTCAAGAAGCCGAATGACCTCTGTGATAATATAATAATAACAAATCATGTATCTGCATCCAGCTTCAGTGTGCCTTTCCTCTGATCTGGGGTGCAGGACGGCATGTTGCACCTGTAGCTACCTTGAGCTGCTCACAAACAGCACTGCTGTCTCTGACACTGTTGGGGTGTGTCTTTTCCTGTGTTCAGTGAGCTGAATAGAAACGTCCAATGGCAAACAATGCACTCCATTTAAAATATAAATAACAATGCAATGAATAAAAACCTCACCAAACAATGAGTGTTTCAGTTATGAAACATGCACATGTATGTAAGGATAGCTGCTGAGCTAGCAGCTATGACTGATTTCACTTGAAAGCAGGTTAACTGGATAACCAACATAATTCAGAAGGGCTGGTCTGCATTTTTCAGTTCATTGGAAGATCACAAAACTTGCACCATAAACACTCCCTGATTTGGTGATACCTCTTACATTTCTTCCAAGCTCCCAGTTTATATCATAAATTTAATGGACCTTTTTCACAGCAGTTATTTTGACATAAAACAGTAGGGTAAACACAGGAGTTACCAATCATACTAATTAAGGCTCCGTTCCATTGAGTGGACATCAGCACACAACAACAGCACCCTGACTCTGTTTGACCTGAAATTAACAGATCCTAATTAGTATCATTTTACCCTACTATTGTATGTCAATGTTATTGTATGGCTGCCGTGAAAAAGCAGCTTAAAACGAAGCAAAGCTGCAGATGGTTGTTGTTGTTATCACTTGGCAGGATCAGCAGCATGTGTGACCCCTTTTTCATATCACAAAGAAGAACTGCAAAGCTTTATTCTGCCCACTAACAGAACAAAGACAGTCAGCAGTCACAGTGTCATTATCACATCACTGCGTCGCCAGCGATGTGAGCTGGGATGTAAATGGCACAAAGGCACCAGCAGAACGAGATGTGGCAAGCAATCAGTGCTTATGGGCGTCACATCATCCGCCCCCATACACCAACCAGCACACACACACACACACACACACACACACACACACACACACACACACACACACACACACACACACACACACACAGGTTCTACAGCTATCCTTGTTCGGTATTTCATTGCCTTCATTCATTGGGGACAGCCTTCAAACTAACCATAACCAGGACCTCAGAAAAGACGTTTTTGCCACATTAGGGACGCTCTTTGGTCGCCATGACACAAACCACTATGTTGGATGTAATTTCCAATTACAAAAGCTGCTTTTTAAGTTTCTTTACATTTTGTGACACTAAATGTGTCTTTTATTGTAAAGTAACCGAACTCAGTGTTGATTCATTGGTTAGATTACATTAGTGCTGAATAAGAATAAGTTGATTCATCAGTTTAAACAACAACAATTCTGATCATCCATCATTTAAGGCATTTATCAAGTAAAAATGTGAAATAATTTCTGGTTTCAGATTATGAAATGTGACGATTTGCTGCTTTTCTCTCTTTTCTATCATTTGACATAAAAAGTTATTTTAGTAGGGGCTCTGGGAAATAGTGATCAGAATCAATTATTTGAAAGAATAATCTAAAGATGAATCAATAATGGAAATTATCTTATCTTATCTTAATTGATTTGATGGGTGATGGAAAAGTCTTAACGGCCAAACGAACAGAGCTACATGTCCTGTGTCACACCGTAAAGAACAGTTGGGAACCAACGCCCACATCAGAGAAAGAAACCAGCTGAGCAGTACAGACTGCCCATCCCTCATCACACCTCAGCAGCGAAACAACATGTCCAAGAGGGCAGGGGCAAGGTGAAACCACAGGCTGGTCACCACCTGCTGAGGAACAAAAACTATTCATCAGAGTGGCAGCTGAATGTATCTCCAGATTCTCTCTGACATACTGGTGGTCCTGTCACATACTGTGTGTTTAAAAGTGGCTGAAAGCCGTTACGTCAAATAAATCACCGGAAGTCAAGTATGTCAAAAAGGTCTCATTGCTCCTATTAATTAAATAAGTACAGGGCAGAGGGAAATCACCTTATCATCACCTCTTTACATACCGATAAAGTATTTCTGATTCTGATCAGTTACTTATATTTCTTATCACATTTAGCAAATGAATGATCACAATGAATGATCATTTAGCTCCTTACTGTCTCCTTAAGTTTAAAGCATTAAAAGTACAGGAACATTTCATATATTACACATCAAATGAAGCTTTTTTGTCTTTTTTTTTTTACATGCTTCTAAATTTAAGCACTGTTTTGAAACATGTACTGTTTTCGCAGTACAGCAGCTACATTATCTCTTGACACTCAGTCCTTAGAGGATTTCTTTTTTTCTCACTGAAACATGATCACTAACAACAATAATCGTCAAAAGTCTAAATCTCGGTTCAGATTTGAGGTAAAAATGGCTCAATGAGTCACATTTTTGGGGTTTGAGTGCCTGAGAAGCAGGTTGAAGCAGGTTTCTTTCTTTGACTTTCACTCGTAGTCATAAACACATTTTTCACTGGTTCCACCTGTTGTGCTGAAGCACCTCATGTTTACAAAGTAAACCTGACCTCAGGGACCCGTTAACAGGCTGCCAAACATCTCAATAAGCTTTCACCATCCCAGAGGATTCACTTTGACATAACTGGAAATCAGTGAGGAAATTCCCTGAGCAAACTAGCAGTAAAACTTTCTTTCAACCCAGCCACAGTGTAACAGGAGGAGAACCGTAGAGGGAAAGAGGACAACGGCACGCACAGGAAACATGACACAGTTCTCGGGCTGGGGAAGAACAGGAGGAGCGGGAACATGGCCGAGATACAGTGTCACATACATTCATACATGCATTACATTCTTAAAATCCACAGGGAAAAAACTCACTTGCTGATCTTGCCCGAGAGCTTGAGCGTACCGTCCTTCGTACTTTCCTTTTTCTTGAACATCTTGGAGGTTGTGGTGGGTCAGCCAGAGATCCCACAAAAGTCTGTCACTCTCTCTCTCTCTCTCTCTCTCTCTCCTTTTACTCCTTCTTCGTCTCTGTCTTCCTCACCCTGTGGCACACACTCTGGCTCTCCTTCCCCTTTGGTTCTTCTCAAGCACACTCAAACAGACACATACACACACACACACACACAAATTCACGTCAGCACCGTGGCAGCTCCTCCCAGACAGGTTAACAGGTGTGTCACCACCCAGACATCCACCTAGTAGGGGAAGACCAGACCGACCGGTTCCCTGCACCCTCCTGTCCTCCCACCTTCAGCCCTGCCCTTCCTTTTCAGCGGGGCCCTGACACACTCTCAGATCTCTCACAGGGAGCAAGGGGCCCTTTAATTAGCATGGATGCATAATTCATGGAGCCGGAGGGGCACTGAATTCCTGCAGGGAGATGAGGACAAAATACCTTTTATTCACACTAATAGCATTCACTAGTGAATTAATAGTGAGTGCAGGTGGGGAAAATCAAGTTGCAGTGAGTGTTTCCAAATCTGGCTGATGGATGGTCTCAGGGTTGCTTCGTCCTCACCTCCTGTTCTCCTTGTTTCCTGTCGTCTCTCTCTCACTATCTAATAAAGGCATGAAACACTTCCAAATATATTTTATGTAAAATTATACAACTTGAATCCCAGACACATATATAGACACAGGTCATTTTCATCACACGTGGGTGGAAATACTCCATTACTTGGATTTAACAAACAAACCTGGATTTAATTCGTTGTGGGTCTGAATTCTGGGTAGAAGGGACACAACTACTTACTTTTGTGGTAGCAGGAAAATAATATAACAAGTAGTCAAATTAATTACTGTTGGCAGGAAATAACAAGTAAAGTAATAACATTACTTTTGAAAAGAGTAATGAGTAATAAATTAAATAGTTTGAGTAACTAGGTCAACACTGGTCACTAATGTAACAGCTGATTTATTTGTATATTAACCTTCATATATTCTCAAATTCCCTCCTGTGGTAACTGTTGACTTTAATCCACAAACTTTCACTGGAAACCTTCTAAATGGACTTTTGCAGAATAAAAATGCAAATCAATTTGTGTAGGACCAGTGTGTATAATTCAGTGGCATCTCGTGGTGTAGTTGGAGCTCGCTTCACCGTCCAATACCAAGTGCAAAGGATGAACTACGGTGGCCATGAAATGTACTATAACTTGAAAGGACCTATCTGGACCTCGTTTTGTTTTCTCTGTTCTGGACTACCGTAGAAACATGGTGGCCGCAAGGGCAGGTGACCTGCGCTGTCTGTAGATAAAAACAGCTCATTCTAATTTAACAAAAATATAAAGATTCTTATTTTTAGGGGATAATACACAAATTTAAACATTGCTATGCATATTATATTCAATATCTGCCTTTCTAAATGTTACAAACTGGCCTTTAAATACATTTGAGTGATAGGAATGGGAACTTTACAGCATGTACAGAGTCCTAGTTTACACAGATAACATGTTTGATGTATTGTTTCATTTCCCTGATTTCTTTTCTTCAACATCTGATTGGGCATTTTAATATAATTATTATTATTATTACTATTTATTTTTTTATTTTTTTATTTTTTTACAAGGGGGGGTGCAGCAAAAGGCCACAGGGTTGAATTGAACCACAGCCACATATTTAATATAAAATTAAGAGGTGCCTTTTATTTTTACTTGCTATTCACACCGATCTTCACCCTGACACTACACCATGTTGACCTTCTGTCAGGGCTCAGATACACTCTATGCTACAAACACAGACCTGCACTGTATACAGTCAACAACGTCACAACCTGCAGGGCAGAAAGTAAGTTTATAACATCATGACTTTGTATTAGAGACACTTTTCATTACGTCAGTGATTAAAGGAAACTCCATACATTGCAACGTCCCATGTTTAGCATCTGCAGGCACAGGAGTCATTCAGGATCAGGGCGTCTCTCTGCAGCATATCAACAATAGAAAATCATGGTGAGGAATGCAGCTGGGCAGCTTTCTTTGCAGCCGAGTGGGGAACAGCACAGAGAGCACACATTTTTGATCAGTCCAGTCATTCAGTCTCTGTGTCTCTATCTCTGGGTGCGTCCACCTGTCTGGAAAAACAGATACTCTTTCTACTGCTAATAGAGACAGTATATATGTTTCCATGTTCACAGAATATAATTATTCACCTTACATTGTGAGAATATTATAACAATAATTATAATTTAGAATTTATCAAATCCACTGGGAACATTTGTGTAAAAAAAATGATTGATCGATTGACAAGTGGTTAAAAAATAATTAAAGACATGTCTTTTTTGGGAGAAAATGAGAAAACAGCTCAAAGACGAAGTTTATGAGTTTAATTGGGTGGCGTTAGAGGGTGTGGGCGAAACCACTATGTATCAACTATGTATTGAGCAGTTTGTCGTATGTTTGAGAGCAAGCCGAATAAAACACAAGTTTTTTCAAAGTCAAGTTTTTAAAAAATGTTGCTCGGTGCCATAACAAGAGCTGACAAGAGCACTTACATGGCAAAACTGTTTGTATAGAGGCAAGAAGTTTTCTAACCCACAAGAGAAAAAAACCCATTAACATTGAACCCTGTTATAAGATCCTGTTTTATATATATATAACGTAATAATAATCCCTCCCTAAGGTCTAGTAGCTGTTTCCTGAGCACCTCTTGTCCATATTGACTTCAAAAGTTGAAATAAAATCTTGAGAAGATTCGAGGCTCAAACAAATGGACCTTGACAAAAAGTAAAGTGCTCATAAACATTTTAACATCCACTATTGTCTGACAACTTGGCAAACTCCATCTGCTGAAGATCTTGTCATGTCCAGAGCAGCTACTAAATGCACTTTAGTGGTGAGATTGTTTTCAACCGCTGTCTCAAAGGTCAACAATGAACTTTCAATACATACAATATACAACATTAAAATGGTTAACTGTGACATCCACACCCTCCTGTTGTTGCTGGTGTTTTGTTTTGTGTGTATCTATCTCTTAAAAAACATGCAACATATAAATGCACATAAAATATGTAATAGCCTATACAATTATGTAAATATGTAAATAATAAAAAGTTAAGTTTAATGGTACTAAATGAATGACTACTTGGCGATATGCCTTCTTTTATGTTATGTTGGGATGGAAATACTGGTTCAAATCCTGGAAATTTGTTTTACATTATAGGTAAATGCTAACATGCTGATGTTTAAGTATGTTTACCATCTTAATGTAACTTGTAAGCAAGTATAACTTGGGATGATATAATGTTTTTTTAGTATTTGGTGTTTCATTATGTGACATTTAGGAGGATCTATTGGCAGAAACTGAATATAATATTAATATATATGTTTTCATTAGTTTATAATCACCTGGAAATAATAATCTTTATGTTTTTGTTACCAGAATGAGGTGTTTTTATCTTCAGTTTCTACAGTAGCCCAGAAGAGACAAACCAAACACTGGGCTGTTTGTGTTTTTTACGCATTTTGCAGCCACAGTAGTTTCTCCTTGAAGTGAGCAAGTTGCAATCTACAACTATACTGCTAGATGTTATTAAAAAAAGAAACACAAGACATTTAACATCAAGTTTTTTTTTTTTTTTTTGGGGGGGGGGGGGAGAATTCAAGTAAATATAAATCATCCTGTGGGGGAAGTTCATGGCAATCCATCCTATAGTATTAACATGTTTGGGATCACCAAAGTAATTAGGACTCATCCTCTCAGGACCCTGAAGGTCTGTACAAAGTTTCAATCCATCTAATGGTTGATGAGATATTTCAGCCTGGACCAAAGTAGTGGACCAACCAATGGACTGACATTACCATCCACAGAGCTACACTGCTAGTTAATGCTGCTAATGGGAATACATTACACAGAAGAACAGGTGATACACATGAGCAGGGCTGCACTCTGGTCCCTCTAAAGGTCAGGGATGTCCCCGGAAGTGAAACTTACCTGTGATTTAAAAAGGGATCAGTAACATCCTCAAGTTCACTTTAGATAGTTTGCAGGGCAACATAAACATGGCAGGGAATTATCTTTAATCCGCATGTCACCAAATTCCTGAACTGAGAAGAAACAACAAAGGCAGAAACACAGTGAGGGCGTGTCAGTCTCTTTCACTAAACTACACACTGCGGACAAACAAAGCTTGTCTGTTTAGAAAAAGCTTTGATGCTTGTACTGAACTTTGGACTTTCTCACTTGTTCCCTGTACTGTACAATCAAACAAACAAGGAAAGACTATACTTCTATGTCTTTCATCTTTTCATCTCACTACAGCAAAATAAAAGTACAGATGAACTGATCTACAGAAATAAAACAATGTGCAGACTATTAGTGATACTGCGTCTTATCTCTGGTTTCATCCTGCAGATAAATATTTATCTCAACCTCAGCAGGGAACAAATATCTTCAGTGCATCCGGGCACAGCTCATCTGTGTGTGAGTGACAAAGGAGTGTGTGTAGAGGACACTGACGACAGGCAGCTGATAAGACATCAGGTAGAGATGCTGTGTGTGTGTGTGTGTGTGTGTGAGGGGTTAATTAATTTCATTAGATTAGTACTGCTGTGACTCTGACGTTGAGATGTAATACATTTGCACAGCAGGGTGTTTGAGTAACAAACACACCTATATGATTATTCATACTTGTGAAAATGCATATACACACAAAATAAACCAAAACACATTCACGCCCTGCTAAGGCATCCTACGCACTCCCAGAGTAACACACCCACACCCAGGACAGAGGTCTCTCTCTCTCTCTCTCTCTCACACACACACACACACACACACACACACACACACACACACACACACACACCTCTTTACTTCCCTCAGAATTTCACCTTTAACTCTGCAAAATGTGAGCTTTGATTTTATAGTAATTCTAACAAAATCACACATAATGCCATAATAGACCTTTTTCACAGCAGCCATTTTGACATGAAAACAGTAGGGTAAACTCAGGTGTTACCAAAGGCTCTGTTCCATTTAGTGTAGCAGAGCCTTTTCACCCTGACTCTGTTCGACCTGAAATTAACAGAACCTTAATTAGTATCATTTGTAAGACCTGTTTATTTCAAGTCAAAATGGCTGCTGTGAAAAAGGTCTATAA